GCGACAGAAAGATGAGCGGGTATTACACAATGATATTGTAAGTATTGGCTATACGAAGGATTCTTGTGGTATGTTGTCAAGGTGTTATGTATGCAGGAGGGAAAGAACGAGGAGTGGGACAGAAAACCCTCATCCGTACAGAACCAAGTATATCAGTATCTGAAAAAGTATATCTTTCTGCGTTTGGGCTTCAGCAATGATCTTCATATCATATATCTAGCCTAAGTTTTCGTAAATCTAACAATAATGTGAGAATAACTTCACATTGATGTTGCGGATTACTTTCATATTCCACTAGTGGGGGGGTAGACTGACAGGACACTTCTCAACTTTCAACATTTGTACCAAATTTATTCTACAATTCTTTGATATCAAAATGTATCTTTTTATTGTTCGATTTTTATTAACTCGTTGTAATAATTCTCGAGATATCTAAACTGAGACTTCGAAAGATATTGTTAAGTCAATATTAACAGTGTCCCGTCAGTTCTCACACCCATTGGTGATCCTGATAGCAGAATCTGGCACAAACATCGCAAAGAAAAAATTGATGTGTCTATGGCATATAACGTTTTGGTGTTAAGATATTGGTGAGACATTGTCATGATTTATGTGACTGTCAGGTTGGGAAAAATCTCTTCGAATGATTCATATGCCGGAAATGCAGACATATTCATACAACTTTTGGAACAAGATTAATTTGACTATGTTGAGTTTTGGTAAAGTCAGGCTTGTTTATTCTCCTATTCTTTTAAAGAATCTTAAACTTAAGAAACTAATGGAAGTCAACTGAACCCTTCTCGTCGTCTTCGCTGTCTTTCTCGTTGCATTTGCTTCCCTTTATTCTGGTTCTGGTTTCTTATTCCATCCTCGAGTTTCTCCGGAGTTAACTCTAAGATCACACGCATAATCCACCTTGAGTCAAAAGGGGGAGGTGTGTGTCGCTGTCGGCAAATCCTTCATTGAACAGCCTACCCTTCCCTGTCCACAATTCTAATGGCTGGGTATTGAGAAACTCTCGAAAACGTTCCCTATCTATTGCAAGCTTGAGTTTTTCGGACTGGAATTTGACCGTGCGACAATGTTCACAAGCGTCGTAATTACAGCAAAGCGATTTCTCAATGGTGTACTTACGGCGCGGACGGTGCTCGGAAGATTCAAGTTCGAAGCATCGGGATTGTCCGCAGAGGTTAAATACAGAGTAGAGAATTTTGTCCCGAGGTTTGTTGCTACGATAATTGCCATTTCTCGCTTCATCGTTGAATGCGAGATGGTTGGATGGGGGAGGGTTTGGTTGGCCATAAGGAGGGGTCATTTGAGTGGAGTAGCCAGGATTAGACAAGCAATAGCTGGGTGGGCGGTGGGGCGAGGGAATAGCAGGCAGGGAGGTATGGTTAATGCCATAATAGTTTGACGTCGTGTGTATGCGTCAGGTTGAAGGTCAAGGGGTCGGGGTTTGTGTACGTAGCAATGCCATTAGCCTCCGGGAAATGATATAATAGTATTAAGACTTACTCGACGTGAATTTAAAAACTGACAATTGAGGGTAAGCCAACTAAAGGGAAGAGGTAGGTAGAGTTGCAGATGAGTGAGTAGAGATGCGAAAATAGACGGATTCCACACAATAATGTTGTGAGTAATGGTCGCTTGAAGCTTTCCCACAGTATGATGTAAAGATGTAGAACATTGAAGAAAAAGTCTGAGAAGGAGCTTGTCAAAGCTCTTAAGCACATATAATTAGTGTACTGCTATTATTCATATGGCGTATCTTTGTATGAATATATCAATATACTTGGTGTTTAATTAGTCGAAGAGTCTTTTTCGTCATTGAACAGCCAGATACCATACAATAACAAGTCGACCGACAAATTGACTTCTGTGTCATGTATGCCAATTTACTCATTGATAGTGATTCCCCATGAATCAGACCCTGATTCTACACATGCAGACCGTATTCATTGAGTGACTTTTCACTTAGTCTGAATATGTAAGAATACAAAAAGTCTCACTGAGCTATGATCGACACATTTATTTGGGTCCAGGGAGTTTCAGATTTCTGTCAAGTCAGAATTCAATATTGACTGTTCCTATACTGTTTGGAAGGAGATTTAGAGCGTTTAAGAATAACACCAGTCGATGTTGTGATTACTCATTGTTGGGAACGAGGAGTTTATGAGTTCCAGAAGCTCAGCACCGGCCACAACCTGTACAAGGTCTGTTTGGATATCACTTCCACTTTCTGCCAAAGCTGCCACGATATGAAGATATTGCAACCTTTGCAGTACCCGTGGGAACAACTATTGTATCTTTCTTCAAACTCATTTCCTTTTCCTCCTAAATTATTCGAAGAGATAAACCGGCTTCATATAATGAACCTGCGACAACCTCAAATCCTCAATAGATTTAACGATCTAATGATCTCCATGCAATGGGTGAGCTGTCTCCTCATACCGATATCCAGCAAGCCCCCATTTATCTTGAGGACTTCGAGAAAAAACACCTTTTTCATCATGTAAGTTAGGCGATACATCGTCACCATAGTAGCCAATCTCGTGCGGGCGTCGCATGAAGCGGCCACAGAGATAGGTATCAATGAATAGTCTGATGAGCTGCGAGCTTAATATCCTACCCAGTAAGGGGTAGGCTAGGTATTTGTTTGTTGGACTTATTGTTGAGTTTCTCTGTCATCTGCCACCGTGTCAATCAAATCGGGTTCAACTTCAAGTGCTGTCAGTTCGCGTCATGAACAACTAAACAGTCACCTATTCATGATTGAACAAGGTACTTCAAATTACTTAACATCGTGGTAGTATGATTACATATATCCCAACTGGATCTCAGCTCGAAAGAACTTGATAGAAATCACCTTGGTAACAAATGATTTTCCATGGCTCTCAAACACGGAAGTCCATCTTGCAAAGGATGCACACAAGTCCTCACAGTTTTTGAGCTTATGATTATACCAGTCGCTTACCATAATCTCAGGCTTGCTTGAAGCAAAGAACTCTAATCACGCAAGCACTCTTCAAGTACTTCACACTTGCAGACTGGTCGAAATTTCGACCATCAATCCTATGTAATATGTACCTTTCCTTAGAATTTTCTATTTTAAGTGGGTGTCAGTTCTCAACAACCAAAAAAGAAGTGTGTGGTCAAGCTCCGGCATTGGTTGATAAGAAAGTTATATACATACCACGTCTCAATTTGCTCACTAACCATGAGGTCAGAATCTCTTGAAAGTGGCGGAATTCAGACTATCAAGAGCAACATAGTAAGTGCTGGGATATCAGAACACTGCGAAAACAAACGGAACGAAACTACGAGAACAGGTGCTGTTATTCAAGGAATAAAACTACGAGACCAATTGCTGTTATTCCTTGTTAGCGAAATTCATTGAAGTTGTAGAGTGAAAAGTGAGGAGCTTGACCACTACACTATATCATTTGTTTTGATTATTTCATGCATAGATTGAATTACAAAGTCAAGTCAGAGCCCTGCATCAAGGTACTGGGAGGGAAGGAAGAGTTAAAGGTAGATATGGGAGGTGTTGGGGGGGAAAGAGCTACGAGACGATGCGGGTATTATGTGGAGCAACCTTATAGATCCCTGAATGCATACCTCAGTAAGTAGATGGTTCAAATAAAAGAACACAAACTTTCAATACCCTGGAAAAGGAAGCTCCGATGTACTTAAACTACACAGTAGGTGATTATTAAAATGTTGTTCCTGTGCCGTTCCGACATTGATATTCTAATGTCCAAATTCAAATGAATGCAAAATCTAGAGTATGACAATTTGAAAGAAACCAACGTGATAAGCAAAAATACAACCGAATAGGTGGCCTCCAATCCTAGAACAGTGGCTTCCTCCTTTGAGTGTAGACAGACAGAATACTGGATGACAAAATTCATTATCGGAAAGGGCTCTTGTACATGCAGAGGGAGTAAAGAGGTATAGGATTTTGTATTTCATTTGGCAAGCGACATACCAGAACATGATACTTCAAGTGAAACAGAAAAGGAAACTCAAAAATTGCTTTCGAAGATTCACACCAGAAAGTTCGAAGTCACACTTGTGAGCTCAGAATTAACCTTGAGTTGAGGTCGCTGCATTCATTAATTTGACTAAACATTCGTACATAGTTCGAAGAACTGTAGCTAATAGATGCGTTTTCACTCAGTCACCCTTGCCACGCAGACTTCTAAAGGAATAGGACTATCCCCATGATGTTGTCTAGATTCCAATGCTTCATCTATCTTCAGATTGCTCAAGTTTCGTTGAGATTGTGAATAGTGATGGGGTACTATGGTTCTCTCAAGAGGAAATCATACGGGAAGCAGTAGCACAATTCCCAGAGTCCCAGAGTATCCAATAGTCCGGACTGCAGTCCAACAATATAACTTTTGAACGTCCAAAAGCAATTAGAAATCTGAAAATATTTCAATTTTTCAATCAAAGTCAAAGTCTCAAACGATTTGAATGTTCTAATTGGTTTGGGGATTTGATAATCTTTGCAGTCCGGATCATTAGACGCCTTGCCTCAGACGCCTTGTCATAAAGTGTGCAGATGTCATTCAGTGTACCCATTCATGTGAAATCCCACTGTGAAAGAGGATTGAAATTCGCATGTTTGTAGAAGAGACCTTCGTCATCAAGCAAAGCGGCTCATTTCCCCACACCAAAAGATATCAAAAATTACCCCATAGCAAGAGCACGTGATTTCGTAATTTCGTCGCGACTCCCCGCGTCACTTTTGCCTCTGTGGTTCATTAGTTCTTTGCTTTTGTTTCCACAACCATCTCACGATTTATAATATAGCACTCGCCATCGCATTCTTCTACAAATCATTTGAGAATAATTACTGGTTGCTGTTCGCGAATCAATACATCCTATCTCAAATCTCGATTCACCTTTTGCGATTTTGTTCAATCTTCCAACTTTGCGATCAAACTATTGGACACAACTTGCAAAATAACCCCGCAGCCTGCGAAATTGCGACAATGGGCTCTTCAAATATAGCTCGAAAGGAGCGGCGCAAAAAACAAACACGTTTGACATTCGATCCAATCTCCACTGAAGTACCTTTAGATTCATCTGCGAAAAGTCAAGGACCATCGCCTGCGAAGGTTCGATACGAGAGAACGAATGGCGGCACATCTGCAGGAAATGGAGGAAGAATTACACGCAGTGGGATGTCTTCAGGTTCACCCTTGAAAGCAGGTTCGGGTATGAAAGGAAAATCTGGGGGCAAGGGAAAGAACGCGAGAGATGGAAAAATCAGTTTTGGATCATTACCAACGCCCGCGAAAAGCTCACAGAAAGATGAAATTATTATTTCAGATGCAGAAGTAACCAGCGGATCACGCCGAAGCACACGAGGTTCAAAAATGAAGAAGCCGATTATTGAGGATGCCACTGGTTCGGGAGACGAGTCTACAATTGAAGTTGAAGTAACGACCCCGTCGAAGAAGAATAACGAGGAACCCGCTGCCACGGAAGCTGCAGATGATGACTCGGACATTGAAATTACAGGTTCTACTACAAAATCTTCTGGAGGTAGTTTATCGAGGAGACGTTTTCTCACAGGTCGAGGCTTTATACAAGGTGGAAGTACATATAACGCCCCCTTACCTTCTTCTGGAAATCGTGGCAGAGCACCAAAAGCCCTAGCTCATAGCCTTAAACCTCCAACCCCCTCGAAGACTACGCCAAAGAACAGATCGGTAACATTGTCAGATACAAGTGAGGATGACGTATTCGCATCAAACTCTAGACCTTCACAACGCCCTGGCCTATTCAGTCAGAAGCTAGCTGCGCCAGTAGAAAGTAGCGATGAATCTTGTGAAGAGGCTGATGAGGATTCCGATGATGATATACTTCCATCTTCCACTAGACGTCGACAGGCAACACGGATAGTCCCGCAAGTTACACTTGAGATTGATTCCGATGACCCGGATGATGAGCCTCCAACCTCACCCATGAAGAGAAAGCGTCCCACCATCATTTCTGATGATGAAGATAGTATTGTTAGATCGCCTGTAAAGAGAGCGAGGGTCGTGGATGAGAGTGGTTCAGATGCTGATTTGCCGCCTATGACTAAGTTATCCAAGACCACTCCCCCTGAATCTGATAGTCCCGCCCCTTCCCCACAAGTCAAACAAAGAGGACCGCCCAGGAAGCACAGAACTGCTAAGCAGAAGCAATTAGAGATTCTCAAACGCAAGCGTGCTGGAGAAAGTAACCCTGTTCTTACAGAATCTGAGTCTGATGAAGAAGAGGTTGGCGGGTTATATGATTCGGGTAGTGATGCATTGACTACCTTTGAAGATGAAGAAGACGAGGAGGTGGAAGAGGAAGTTCAAGAAACGCGCAAACGAAAATCGCCCAAGAAGCCTGTACAAGATAATGAGGATGAGTATGATTCGGACTTTGTTGATGACGATGACGTTGGTCTTCTTGGAGTACCAGATTACGCTATGATTCCTCTACATCTCACGGCCGCAGCCCACAAACCTCTCAGAGAACATTTTGCCGAAGCCGTTGAATGGTGTGTTCAAAACAAGATCAATCCAGGTTTCAACCAAAATCTTATGCCCATCTACAAGGCGGCGTGGAATAAGCTCGAAGATGCATACAGTGGGTTATCTGGTAGCAAATTTGTTTCCACTTCATGGACTCGTGACTTTACCAAAGGTCTCTATGCCCGCCCCGAATTCATCACCAGGAGACTTGCTCCAGGAGAAGCCATTGATCTCTTAGGAGAGGCCAAATGCGAGGCATGTAATCGTAGGAAGCATATACCAACTTTTGGTATCACATTAAAGGGATCTGCATACCACAGGGATAGCTTAGCCGAAGTAGAGAAAGATGATAGTGATACTGAGGAAGATGATTCTGATGATGAGAAGGACACGCGGAGTTTGAACAGCAGGGATGAACCTCTCCCACCTCAAGACAAAGAGTTCATGGTCGGCTCGTAAGTTACAATTGTCTTTATGTTGGGGTATGGATTTTGACTAACCTGATCGTAAAGCGTCTGTAAAGAAAACGCAGAAAATGCACATACACTCATTCATTTGAAGTATGCACTTAACCAATGGGTCATAGGCAGTCTGGAAAGTCAAGGCCATCTCACTATTGAGAAGCTTGCCAAGAGAGACAAGATGAGCGCAAAGAAGAGACAGAAGGAAGTTAATGGAATTGTCGACAAGTGGAAGGAGGAGAAAGAGATTAAAGAATTGTATGGCATCTGGAAACAACAATTGGAGACGGCACAGAACGCCAGTACAACGGGAAGACGATAAGATACTACGTGGTAACTAGGGGTGTGAATTGGAGTCAAGCGTAGGAGAGGATGGAATTTTTGGCGCATAATGGTGGAGAACTAGGAAGATTTTATCGATGCTGGGTATGGCATCAGGCATTTGGGAGCGATATGTGGAAGCAGGTAGCGAAGATTTTGAAATCATGATTTTACTTCATTTTATTGCATTTCAAAGAGTCAGTGATTAGGAATGACTGGGAGCAAAATAAGTATCGAATTAGAGATACGGCGGGGATTTTATTGTTATCTAGTCGTAGGAGGCTGAAGACTATATCGATGATACAGCTCGATTTTAGATATCCAATAGCAAAATTATGAACAGTTAGTTCATCAATAATTGATAACGTTGTCTCAATCTCTCATGATTAATCTCTTACTAATTACCTTGTGGACTCTTGCACACATTACCTACCTACCTACCTAGTACTCCGGTGGCTTTGAGAGAGAAAAAGCATGGTTTCATACCTAGCTATCTACAAAGTACCAAGTTTGCCAATCCCGAGGGTAGTTCCAGACGTGGCGGTTACCAGGGAGGATTTATTGGCACACTCTCAGTCCCAAACATGCGATTCTCTTCTTTGCCATGAGAGTGATGATTACGCCCCCTCCCCCACCTCCCCTCCCCACATTCTGACGTATCTGCATCCATGTAGGTGTGTAGGTATGTCTGTCTGTCTGTCTGTCTGTCTGACTGACCAAGGAAAAAATAAACTCCCTAGTGTCGATCCTTGTGTTTTTTTGTTGTTGTTTATTGGATCTATTGCATTTGTTTACGATGGACGTTTCTGGGATGAGGGATGAGGGTTGTGTATATACTAGATACTCATGAGACATGTGGATAATATGTGTGTATGTGTGTGTATGTTATTATTACTAGGTATGTATGTATGTATGTATGTATGTGTGTGTGTATGTATGTATATTTGTATGTAAGTAGGGAGGAAGGGAGGGAGGAAGGGAGGAAGGGATCAATTCTTCACTCGGTCAAACAAGATATTAAAAACATGCTTCATGTCAAGGTGATGGCTGGGTAGGTGATTACATAATGTCGTATCCAATCTCTTCATTGGGATCCCTCTGTACGTGTAGAGAAAGCTATGACTTCATACATTTACACTCACAGACAGTTGAATGTCTGTTACCTACCCACAAGGATCATGGTTTTTTGATGTTGGTCGAGGTGGTATTTGAGTTATCTTGATGTTGATGTTGATGTTGATGTTGATGTTGATGTTGATGTTGATGTTGATGTTGATGTTGATGTTCATATTCATATTCATGTTCATGTTCATGTGGATGTGGATGTCTGGATTGGGTAGTGGGTAATAAGGTGTGGATGTGTGTCATTTTTGGGTGTTGATGCGTAAGGGTATTTGGGGTTGTGTGGAGTGAAGTATGAAGTGACAAAGGAAGAATACCGGTATTGGAGAATCTATCGACTCATTGCGATGGGATGACCACCATGGGAATCTCATTGGAATCATGACGCGTTACAAGCGTAGTCGGATTGGAATCTAGATGTTGATTCGATTTCCCAAAGGAATTTCTCTCAGATGCAAATTAAATTAAATTGAGTTTCTTGTATATCCACATCCATACAAATCTGACGGGAGATCTTCAGTCTAGTCTACTCGTGGTTATAGTTGGGAAATGTGGTGCGGAACGTGGCGTTGGTGTCCGCCAATGAAAGCGATTAGCTCCGTGATGAGCTCAGCGATGAGCTCAATTCCAAAAGTGACGTAGTAAAGTGGTAGCAATGGGAACTCACAGTCCCGGCAGAGATGATTACTCTTCACCCGCACCCGCCACAACCAGGTATAGGTCATTGCCTACTTGGGTAATGCTTCTCCACTCTTTAGTAAGAACAAACAAGGCTCCCATGAATTCCATCAAGGTTTGAGAAGAGAGTAATGATCAGATGAAATCCCAAGGCAAGAAACAAGTGGAAGTGGAAGTGGAAGGGGAAGGGGAAGTGAAAAACAAGGCAAGAGAAAAGCAAGAACGTACTTGATGATACAAGGTAATTGAATTAAAAGATTCAACTTTCCCCATGCCACGCTTTGCTTTTCTTTTTCCTTTCCTCATATTCGTGATACACAATAAACATCCCATCGCATACCAGACCATATCATACGAAAACACCAACACCACCACCACCACCACAACATCCAATACCCAATACCCAATACCCAATACCCAACAACGATTAACATACCAAGTTCTTTCACAAGTTTTTGATATCAATCCCATTATCCCACTTCCACAAATCACCCTCGTCATTATATCTTAATTCACCTCACCTCTTTATTCATCCCATCAAAGAGCCAATCAATTGCTACTTGCAAACCAATCACCAAGTTTAAGACGCCTCATTACCTCATTACCTCATACTTTACATATACTACCATCTCAGCTCCAACGAGTCTCGTACTCTTGACATTCGAGTAGATAGAAAGTCTCTTTCTTCTATTTTCGAAAACTTCTACACCTTTTCTTTTCTGTCGTGATACCCAGATACCCCAATATTAATCCATAAACCGCAATCATGTCTGTTAACGTGCCTGTCAACGAGCCCCAAAAGGAAAAGGATATCAATCTCAAATTGAAACTTTATGGAATGTACCAAGGTATGATTGGACTCTCCCTTGCCACCGGCACATGAGTGTATACACAACTTTACTAACAACACACTCGCGTAGCTTTCCAAGCTGGAAAGGTTCCATCTGTAAGTATTTTGTTTCTCCATCACCCCGTTCCCTCGCGCAATTGCTAATTTTCGATGTACAGAATAGTCAAATCGATGTTGCCCTCAACAGTTTCCTCGAGTCGAAGGCTCTCAAATCACCATCCAACAGGCTTTCCAAGGAAGGCCAAGAATTAGCTCAACAATTTCGTTCCGTGGTGGAACAGGCAAAACTCCTTCTTCTCACGAAGAACAGAGACGAACTTTTCCAAGATTTTGTTTGGCAGTGCGAGCGTCTTGATGGCGGAGCAGCAGCCGTTCCCGGAGCTCCTGTTGATCAGGCAACTGCCCAACAACACGGTCAAGAGGCAAAGGGAGGCCTCAAGACTCTCGGTCAATTAATTTTAACCAATGGACAATTCCGCAAGCTGTGTAAGTTGACGTAACATACTCAAATTCATGTCGAATACTAATATCTGAATTAGTGAATGATGCTGTCATCCTTTTACGCGATATTGCGGGTGACGCTGCTAGCAATGCCGCTGGCAGGCTCAACCCTTCTGAAGATCAATTGAATCAAATTGATCGTCCCGCCGATGACAATACCTGGCATGAAAATCCAAATGTTTCCGCTGGCAACATGAAGAACCAGGTGAAGCAAAAATTCCAAAAGAATCAACCTATCGACAAAAACGATGTCAAGGAAGCCATTGGCGATGCTAATCAACAAGCTCACCCAAGTGGATCTCGTGATCCAGCAGATACTGCTCAACTAGCTGGTCGTGATCAACAATACGGCACTGCCTCTGGAGTCGATGGCCAGGCTGGTGCTCAAGCTGGTGCAAATACCTTGAAGCAACGTGCTTCTGAGAACATCCCCGAAGAGACCAAAGAACGAGGCCGTGAGACGAGAGATAGAACCAAAAATTACCTTCAACAAAAATTGCCCGAGGAACGCCGTGATAATATTATCCACAGACTTAAGAAGATGGTTGTGGAGATTCAAGGTCATCCAGATTGTAAGTTTACCTATAACTTGCTAGTCCACTTATTTCAAAATTAACATGGAGCAGATATGCAATCTATCGACACTCTTCTCAACTTAGCCGAGCAGTATGGGGGACATGCGCATAATCTCGGCCAATCCGGATCTGGTGCGGTTAAAGGTGCACACACCGACAGCGCTCTAAAAACTGCGGAGAATGATTTGAAAGTTTGTACATCCCTGAAACCATCAAAGGAAGAATCTCAGCTAACAGAATGCAGACACTCATTGAGCGTTTTGCCAATTACACATCCAGCGATGATCTCATCGATTCAATCAACGCCATCTACCGAGATGCTGATTCAGACCCAGAGCTGAAGAAATGGTTCCAGCAGATGAACGCCTTCGTTCGCAAGTGTCTCAAGGAGCAAGGTTATATTCTGGAAGACAGCTCCACTCAACATTGGAACGAGCTCTACGATAGAGGCAACTTTCTTCTCAGAGATCGCTACAGACCTCATACTAATCGCATCATTGATGAGCTGAAATTCTTCGGAAATGAATTCGATAATGATGAACAGAACAAGCAATTTGCAGAAACCTGCCAAAAGTTCTTCAATGCCTTGGGCCACGACAGTAGTGGTAACATTAAATTCAAGAGGCACTTGCTTATGGATCTATCCAATGTCATCATTCCTGCAGCTCTCGAAAGAATCCGATACACACCAATTCCCAGAATCGAGTACAGAGATGGACAAAAGATGGAAATTGTCATCGAGAATCTAGTAGTTGAGAGTGATAACCTCATGCCCAACCTGCTCGATATTCAACATGGTATGTGCTAACATTCCTTTGCCCTCGCTCTGGTGTCACACAGTATCTGCTTCACACAGCAACGATCGATGCATTGCTATCTTTTGTTGCTTGGGGTCATGAATGATGTGCTATTGCCCATTTTTGAGAACAATTGCTAATCAAATGTTCATTACAGAAAGCTCATTTAGATTCGGCCGCAAGGGTTTCCACAACTCACAGAAAGGCTCATTCTTCATTGCAGTTCAAGGCATCCAGATGGATTTACGAGATATATCTTATTATATTAAGAGATCTGGTGGTCCTTTCAACCACGACGAGGGTATTCTCGATATTTTCCTCGGGGGCACTGGACTCAGTTTCGACATCAAATTGACTGCAATCAATTCAGGAGAGAAGAATCGTCAAAATTTCTTGAGATGTGATAGCGTCAAAGTTAACATGAAGAAGATCAAGCTTAAGATCAAGCAATCAAGACACAAGGGATTGCTCACCGTTGGAAAGTCGTTGGCGCTCAAACCTCTTACAAAAGCTGTTTGTAAGGCTATCGAGTTGGCCATCAAGCAAAAGGTTGAAGAAGCCGATGGATTCTTGTTTAGAATCAAGCAAGAAGCCGATCGAGCTCAAAAGGAGGCCACCGAAAACCCAGAGAATATCCCCAACATTTACAGACAATATCTTTCTGCTTTCCAACGACAAATGACTAAGGGACAAGAGAAGGCACAAAAAGCACAAGCATCTGTGGCAGATAAGCAATTCAATATGCCTATGACAATGGACGATTCGATTATGCCTCACGTTATCTTGCCAGGTGGAATCTCAGCCAAGGCAACCGAGCATAAGAATAATGCTAGACAAGGCGCCGATTGGAGATCACCTGTCTTTGGCCTTGGAAGTGCTCAAGGGTCTACAAGTCTTCCCCAACCAAAAGAAATCTCAAGAAAACCACATTCTGTTACTCAAGGTGGCGTACGAGGTCCACAGAACATAGGTAACACAAGCACTCACGGTGCTCAACAAGGCTATGGTCAACAAGGTTATCCTGAAGGTACTGGCCAAGCTTATGGCCAAGGTTACCCCCAAGATGCTGGACAGGACTTTGGAAAACAAGGATATGGTCAGTCAAACTTCAATCAACAAGTTGATGCTGCTTTCGACAACACCGGTGCAGGTGTACTTCCTAGCACTACTGGCGTCGGTATTCTACAAGGTCAAAGTGCTAGCAACGGTGCTATTGGCAATGGCGCTTCAAACCATAAAAATGTCCTTCCTTCCAATGGAAATACACAATTGGGAACCAACAACCCAGTTTTACAAGGTAGAGTTTAATTACCTTGATCGATACAAATGCATAATCTCTTTTTCTTATGTTTTGCGGAATGGGATTGTTTCCTCATAAGATATCGCTACCGCGGATAATACCAATGCATATTTGGGGTTTGGTGGGGTCAAAAAATACAAAACTGGAGTGGATGGAGGATGGACGATGGTTTCATTTGTTTTTTCTTTACTTGTTTGCATGGGCTTCACTTTGATACCTGATTGATTTTTTTGCTTCTTAATTGCCGATTCATTGGTGATCGAAAGATACCATAGCGTTTTTATTGGGCTGGGTGATGGAAAGAGAATCATGAATTGGAGATTCATGATTGTTCGTTGAAAGATGGACGCAGCCATGAATTATGATGATGTGATGGTTGGGACATGACGGAACTCCTTTGACCATCTTCTTAGGGTTCAAAATAGCGATTTCTTATATGTCATTAATAATGAAGATACTTCTAGCGATTATTATAATCTTTTTCGTATGGTGATATTAAACTGTGAAAATGATGGTGAGTGAAGCGAGGTGAAGTGAAAGAGATGTTGATAATGTAATGGTTGAAGATGTTGTTCTTATCACCAAATGGGAAGTGCTCAACACATGTAATGAGACGTAGCTTAATAGCACTACAATTTCGTTTTATACATTTTGAGAATTCTGAAGATGTTATGATTGTTCATGATGAGTTAAGGAATGATTAGGTCTACAACTCTACTCGGCAAGCTCGGGTCATGGGAAGCTCGGGGAAGGAGTCTCGGGAGTGCAGTGTGTAGGTAGCTACCCCACGTTCCGTCATCGATTATGTCATACGATTCTTGGAGGCACGGACGAATGATTGATTGCTGATTTGATTGATAAGTAGGTAGTAGTAGTAGTAGTAGTAGTAATAGGTGGGTGGGTGGGTAGCTTCGAGTCTTAAATTGGGAGCTGCTTGTCTGTTTGTTTGTCTGTTCTGTTTTCTTTTGCACATTATATATATATAATAAATGCTTTCGAGATTGTGGAGTGCTGGGATCGATCGATCGAGTTGTAAGATTGGGCTTGAAAGGAATTTGGTTGTGAGTTTGAATTGATTGATTGATTTTTTTTTGTTTTTTTAGGGTTTGTTTTGAGTGATTGGGTTGTTGAGTGATTGGTTTATTGGGTTATTGGGTTTGTGTGGGAGGGAGGGAAGAGGGGGGATTGTGCGATTTCTTTGGATGTTTTGGAGGAGAGATATCGCCATTCCGATTGGAAATGCACATTGCACATGCTATTACAAATGCACATGGGAACCAGAATCAAACGAGGACGAGAACAGAACAAAAGCTAATCAACCCCTCCCACAACCTCTAGAGAAATATCACGAGTATCAACACGAGGAACGAAAGACGAGGGATACAAAGACAAATACAGAAACGCAATATGCATATTCAAAGTATTCCCATGTGGGAGGGGAGCTCGAATAATTATGCGTATTTGGTCGTGGATGAGGGGAGTAGGGATGCGGTTGTTATTGATCCGGCGAGTGCGGGGGAGTGAGTTTTTTTTTGCTTTTGCTTTTGGTTTTGTTGTTGGGGGGTTTGGTTTGGAGGGAGAGGAAGAGGAGGAGGGTAAGGGAGAGGAAAGAGGAAAGGAGAGGGGAGAGGGTAAGGCTGGCAGATTGGCAGATTGGCAGATTGGCAGACGAGGCAGGTGGAAACAGGACACGGAGAGAAGGATAGAGGACGGAGAAGACGTTGGAGTAGGTGAATAACAAAAAGGCTAACAGTAATACAATAGGGTCGCACCAGTTTTAAAAGAACAAATTAAGGATGGAAAGATCAATTTAGTAGCGATTGTCAATACACACCAGTGAGTTTCTCACAGGCATTCATCTCCCCAGGAAGCATTATTCTAATACTCGGAATCTAGCCATTGGGATCATGCAGGAGGAAATAACAAAATGGTAACACCTCTCCCCCCATCTCCTTCAAAGGCAATTCCAGCTAATACCATCATTCAGCTCGCCGACCCAGAATTCAAAGGAAAACCTGTAATTGGAGGTAAAGATTGTGAGGGAGTTACAAAGACACCCAAGAATGGAGAGGGTTTTACAATTGGAGAGATAAATGTCAAGGCACTTTACACACCATGTCATACACAGGATAGTATTTGTTGGTTCATGGAGGATAAGAGTGGCAAGGCAATTTTTACGGGTGATACTTTGTTTCATGGAGGTGAGTTTATGAATTGTTGGGTGGGAAGGGGTGCGATTGAGGCAGGAAGGGAATGGCTAGAATGCGTACAGAGCTGACCAAAACCAGGATGTGGAAGATTCTTTGAAGGAACAGCAGAGGAAATGCACACAGCGCTTAACAAGACACTTGCAGCTGTACCCGATGACACAGTTGTTTATGTAAGTCTCCTTCCATACTCTCATCATCCGAAACTTCCAATCAACTGCTTACCATTCGATCTAGCCCGGCCACGAATACACAAAAGCCAATGTCAAATTCGCCGTCTCCGTTTCCCAAAGTGAAGCCGTCAAGGCTCTCGAAGCATTCGCAGATGAGAATAAGGAAACACAGGGAAAATTCACAATTGGGGATGAGAAGAAACATAATGTCTTTATGAGAATGGATGATCCGGAGATTCAAAAGGCTACGGGGAAAACGGATCCCGTGGAGGTGATGGCAAAATTGAGGGAGATGAAGAATAATTTCAAGTGAGTGTAAGTATTGCTTGAGTTGTCTTTTGTTCTGATGGGGAGATGTATACTGATGAGAGTTTTGTGTAGAGAACCAATGGCTAAATTTTGATGATGTGATATGTGAGGGGAGGTGGCTTCTGGGAGTGGGGAATGGAGGAAGTGCAAATGCCATGTGCGATAACTCAAGAATTGACATGCACTATATACCTAGGGACTTATGTAAAGATGTCTGAGTATATATTTGAACTGTTGGGTTAAATCAAGTGAACAATGAATGTAGGCGTGAATAATCACTATGTACCTATGCATCGGAGATCTTCCCCCTCGTTTTCCCTTTCCCTTTTCCTTCTACCCCTCACTAGCTAAATAGGTATGCGAGGAGAGGAGGGGAGAGAATGGTCCGAAGAGAACCCAATATTAATAAAGGTGGGTGGCACTGGTAGGTATACATACTTATGTGTGTATGTATGTATGTATGTATGACGTAATCCATTTCACATGATTCCTGCTCAATTCTTGATTCTTGATTTCGATTCTGATCTCGGAAGGTTTGCTCCTTTGATATTTGTATCATACCGGTAGATCATGGATGTGTGGAATGTGATGGGATGTGATGGATGTGATGTGACGATGTGATGATGTGATGTGGTTAGTCAGGTAAGGATAAGTGTAAGGTTGAGCTTGATCGTTGATCTATATATGTAGAGGGTATGTCGGGATCATTGGGATTCTTATTGTTATTGTTGTTGTTATTGTTGTGGGATATTGATTATCATATACATACGTGCAGAGTACCTAGGTGATAACGAGACAGGATAGATAAATAAATACTTGACGAAGAAACGAAGAAACGAAGAAATGGCACAGCAACCTCTCTCGCATGGTGCACCGGGTGAGGAAGTGAGTGGGAAGGATAAGGTAGGTCGTTTATATATATATATATATTTCTCTCTCTCTCTCTATATATCATACATATACATATATCTGAGTATTCAACAACACAACACAACACAACACAACACAACACAACACAACACGAAACTAACACCTCGATTCCCAAAATTAGATACTCGAGACAGGAGCAAGCATAACGCAAGATTTTGCCCCGGTCAAAAAGATTTGTGCGCATCTTAATGCGTTTCATGTTTATGCTGGGGAGCCGGGGAGGAGTGTGGAGGCAAATCATTATTGTACGCATTTGAGTGGGGATGTGAGTTTTGTATTTTTTTAATTTTCTTTTTGGGTTGGGTTGGGGGATAGGGAAGAAGAGATAAGGGAGGGAGGAGGGGAAAGAGGGAAGGGGAGGGGGAAGGGTGGGAAGGGTGATTGAGGGGAAGCAGGTGGGTAATTGGAGAGGGAAGAGGGGAGAGGCAATGAAAAAGAGGGGTGGGGAATAGATCATGAGTGGATGAAGCAAAAGAGGGAAGAGAAATGGAAGACAAGGTCCACCAGTAAAGAATCACAGCAGCTTTATGTAACGAAGTCGTTACTGATGGTCGACTATCGAGACTATGGCTATGGATATGGATATGGAATAGAAACTCACACACTGAGACATCCAAATTACTAACAAAAACAATCCACATTGTAGGTTCGTCAATGTCTCATCTACGATTCCCCAACAAATCCAGCAAGGCTGATTGGAGTCGAATATATGATCACCAGGAGATTGTATGAGAAATTGGATGAGGAGGAGAGGAAACTTTGGCATTCGCATGATTATGAGGTAGGTTCTTTTTTATTTATTTTTCCTCTTCGTCTCTTTCTACACTTTCCCTCTATGTAACCTTCCCATCTATCTATCCTACCCCAAACGTATAGCCTCTCTCCACAATTCGAAACTACAATCGCTTCATCATATCTACCCATTCTAACACCCGCCAGGTCAAATCCGGAATGCTCATTCTCCCCAACCCGACAGTCCCAGATGCAGTCTGGACAGTAGCAGAAACGGAAGAAATGAAAGAGGTCATTGAGTTGTATGGGAAAACATTCCATTTCTGGCAGACGGATAGGGGAGATGAGTTACCGCTTGGCATGCCGGTTTTGATGGGGAGTTTCACGGCGGATGATCAGGTATGTTTGGGTTTTTGTTTCTTGGTTGTTGGGAGGGGGTGTGGTGCGGGGAGGGGAGATGAATGATGGGAGAAGAGAAGATAGAGGGGAAGTTTTAAAGATAAATCGACTGATCATGTCAAATCAAAATTTAGGTACCATGGGATAAAGTCAAAGAGAGAGATGAGAGATTTGGTGTTGATACGCAGAAGAAAAGGGAAGCGAGGAAGGGGATTGAGAGCGTGGATATTCATGAGGATGCTGATCAGGTTTGGAAGAAGAAATGAGTTAGTTCTTCATAGTCCGAGGGATGAGTTCGTTTTTCGGAGTACTTGAGATGATGTTGTTGTTGGTTGAAAAGTCTATGTCTCTCTCTCTGTCTGGGCGGATGCTTGATTTGAGGGTGGATACCCGCTTTCTTCTTGGCACTAATTATGAAATGGATAAGGCTAAAATGGAAAGATAAAAAGTGAATATTCATCACACATTCAATGCATATCATATACATCCTTTCACTCAAAAGTTGATATCCACTCCCCTCCCCTCTCTCCCAAAACAAAATCCCACCTAAAAAACTTCAAAAATGTCATATCCCGAGTGAACCCGAGATCGCAGAATGCGGCTTCTGTGGATCGAACACAGTGCCTCCAGATTAATGAACCGAAGTGAACTTCAGTCTGGCGCTCTCCCAAGTGAGCTAAAGCCGCTTGGTGTTGTGTTGATTGTTAGAATTTTCGAGCCGAAAAGAGGATATGTTGTTGATGAAAAATTTGTGTGGGACAGTGGTGGGGGAGGGTGGGTTGGTTTGTTCTGTGCTGTGGATTAGAGTTGCTTGGTGTGGTTGTGCGAGACAGGGAGAGATCAGTACGAATTAGACGAGATGTGGATATTAGATGGGTGAGGATTGGAGGGGGAGGGGAAAGGGGGCTCTGATGAAAGGGTTTGTCGATGAATGTACATATACATGTGGGCTTTTTGAAAGAATCAGTGTTGAGTTAAAATTATTTAGTATGTCTAATCTGATCCGAATTTAAAGCTACTTTGGGGATCGTATTGACTGTTGAATTCTTACTTGGAGTGTTAAGGGTTTATTGTGGGTTTCTGGTTAGAGGGGCTCGAGGGGATACCTAAGTATGGAAAAGAAAAAAGAAAAACGGAAAATCGTGATGCGCTAGAGTTTTGTAGAGTGGATCTTTGGCTCCGATCCTTTCTTAGTCTTTATATTACCAATACTGGTTCACAAACTTGTAGAGAGAAATGGACCGCCTCTCGAAAAGACAGCTGCAATATAATCTCACCATTCCAGCTTTCTGACACATACGACCATAGACTGAAGAGAATTGGGCATCCCGTCCGCTCTGCCATACACAAGCTTCAGATCGGTAGATTAGTAGTTGGGTGGGTGACCACCAGCGAATCCCTACTGTTGTATGTTTTGAACTTTTTGATCTTTTGAATAGTTGGTGTTGTGACGTGTTGAATGGAGGTGGTGGTGGATATTTTTCGCCCCTCGTCGGAGTTAAGCGAGAGAAGCGAAAACTTTTCTCTACTATCGCTGTTTAGTACAATCCACTCGAGATCAAGAAAGAAAAGTCAGAGGCCTACATAATGCTGTACCAAACATACACGTGAAAAATGCCCAATCAGATAGATAACAATCCAGTACCTTTCGATATCTAGCTACAAAATACGTAGACATGCAATATGCCTTTCTGAAATTTTCTCTTTTTTTGCTGTATGTAGAGTGCTAAGTTATTGATGCTTATCGACATACCGATCGATATCTTATCTAATCAATCTTTTTGAGTAGATGCTAAAAATTCCCACTCAAAATCTTCCGTAGCCTTAAAGCAAATCGAAAAATCTCCAGCTCGTTCACATATCTATCTTCTGATCCGTCCCTTGATCCACTAGAACCAAATCCTATCCATCAGATTCACACTATCTGAAAACAATTCCAAAGCCATCCATCCATCCATCCCTCATCCACAGATATACACACATATGTACACACAAAAAGTCCACATACATACCAAACAAACCCCTCGCTTACCACATCCAACCCCACCATCCATATCCATGCTCCCTTTAGCAAAAAAAAAAAAAATCTCTTCATACCCCCCTCATCCACATCAACATACCCACAAACAAAAGAAATATTTGACCTACGCAGGGATCGAACCTGCAATCTCTTGATATCGACGAATCGTAGTCAAGCGCCTTGCCATTGGGCCAGCAGGCCTGAAGAACTGGTAATAGTTCTTGGTGTTTGTTGAGGAGATTGTGGGAGTTTGAGTTTATATTGTAGATTTGAAACCGGAGGGAGAGAGAGACAGAGAGAGGGAGAGAGATTTGGGAAGAGAATGTTGATTTCTGGAATGCGGATGGTTTACTTATTTGTTATATCAATTTTTTATGATTACTTGTGTTACTTACTTGGGGATTATTCGCGTTCTACTTCTTTCCTACTACAGTAGAATTTACGATAAATGTGAATATATAAAGCTCATTATCATATACTTTGTAATATTATTGATACATCTGGCCCTCACTGATGCGGGTATTTTTTGTGCTAGCCTCCCCCATCAGTCTACTATGTCTCGTTATCACATCCTTCAAGATCTATTCACTCTCTTTTACTTTACTACATCTCACTTCCTATCATCGAATCACATTGCATCAGAAAGACACTTTCAAATGGGTAGGAAGACATTGTAATTGCAACTATCCTATTCTATTCCTTTTCCCTAAAAAAAAGCACAACCACCACCATCCATATACAGTCGACCTGGTACTTGAAAAATAAAATAAGAGAAAACTGCGCTGTTCGCTATTCGCATGCTGCAGGGTTATCTCAGTTGAAGAAAGAAGAAGAAGAAAAAGATTTACAAAACATATTTTAGGTACAGACAATAAAAGAAAATTTTGACTGCTCAAGTCCAGGTGATGGTATCTCAACTCGCGCGCGCTCTCTCTCTCTCTCTCTCTCTCTCTCGCTCTCCCTCTTGTTCTCTTTTGGAATCTGTATCTCTCTCCTCCCCTCTCTTCTCCCCTTACGACGCAATGCAACATAAAAACACTAATGCGTGTGAAGAGCCTCCATACGTCATAAAATCCTGCGTGAAGCCTTTTCCTTCTAAGATAAAAAAATTGGAATGATAAGTCAATGAATGCTGATGAGGTATATTACCAAATAATGACTATCAAAGTCATGAGAAATAGTTTGAAAAAAAGGAAATATTCTTATTCAAGAGAGTGACGATTGTGATTATTATTGTCCATAGGTTGCCCAATGTCCATGAGCTTCTCGTAGAACTGATTTGTGTTAGTGAATATGGTCAAATTAAGGAATAGAACTCAACGTACCACTTAAAGTGTGTCCTTGACCGGCTCGATCCTCACATGCAATTTGCAACTCACCACCTTCCAAGAAAGCCAAAACAACACTGTTTGGCAATTCTTGCATGTCAACGTCGGGTATTTCAGGAGCTCTAAATTCACCAAGGTGAAATCTACGTGTTGCTCCTTTATCATTTCCACCAGCTGTGATAATAAGAAGACCTTGGGAATCCAAGACCATTGATCTACGCTTCCATAAAAGACTATCAGGAAATTGAACGTTGACATCGCCAATATCATGAGCAATTGTGGGCGAGGCTGCTAAGGATGGTTGAGATGGAACAAGTGAAGACTCCGAATCGGGGAAAACTGGGGGTTCTGATTCCTCACGAACTGTAGGTGAGATAGCATGTGCAATAGCTTTACGACTTGAAGATAATGATGAAGACATACGCTTCATCATACGACTTGCACGACCAGACTTTTTGTCCGACTTCTCATCATTCCCGGAAGATGCTGAGCTAGCTGTTGGTGGTGGGGAGAAATCGGAACGATCAAGACTACGACGGCTGCTGATGGAGGATGGACGAGATTTGCGAACAGGGGATGTAACATCAGTGGAAGAAGACTTTGATGGCGACTTAACAGTGGGAGAAGATGCGAAAGGCTCGATAGTAGAAGAACGCCGACGCTCGGAAAACGAAGAACGGCTATCGTTGATGAGGTCTTTGACCATAGCAATAGATGATCGTCTCTCATTATTAGTAGTTGTGGTAGTTTTAGATGACGTTGATAAACGCCTTTCGGGTGCGGTTTCTTTCTCTTTTGGAGGACTAGAAACCGCCTTCTGGTGATCTATGATCAATGGGGATTCTGTCAATGGCGGAGATGTATAATCCAAAGGATCTCTGCCAGCTTCTGGCTTTTGAGGAAATGGTTGATTAGGATCTCTGACGATGCGAGCTGTTACCTGGACAGACTCAGGACGAGATCGAGTCGACTTGAGGTCAGAAACAGGAGTCGGTTTCAACATAGCGACTCTTTTTTGAACAGAGTTTGATCTTTCACGTCCTTTAGCAATTTCTGGTGATCCATCTCTTGATACACTAGGAGTTGGTGTATTCTTATTCAAGGAATTTGTACGTTCGGCAATGGAAGGAGCTCTCGATGGAACGAGTACACTACTTCTTCGAACCGAAAAAAATGCAGGCGATGCAGATGGATTTGGTCCCAATGTAGATGGTGCTGCAGAAGAGTCTGGAGCTAGATTTTGAAACTTCTCAAAGGCTTTAATCCTGTTCGCGACACCAGACCCTACACTGATCTTCTTAGGAACAACGGGTGCCGCAGCAGGTTGCATGCTTAGGCGGTTCAAAAAGTTTGCAGAAGCCGAAACAGGTCGAGAAACAGGTCGGTCACCACCAGGCATCGCAGTAAGAGGTGGAGGAATTGGATTAACTGATTGTAACGGACTTGAAACAGTTCGTGAAAATTTGATCTCATTTTGAGTAGGCTGAGGAAACAAAGGACTAATTGGCGATTTCCCCACCGACATAGGCTTTGCATCTTGGATCACTGCAGATTGCAGCTCATCCATAAGTTCGTCATCTGAGGAGAAGTTATTCTCGGAGTTAGGGCCACTCTTATCGAAACTAGTTCGAATTGGCTCGATGTTATGGATTTTTTTCTTCTGTGATAAATTGTACCCAGGGTCGAAAGGACTATCCTTCAGAGGCTTGTCAATTGTATTGAAAACAGGCTCACTAGCGGAAGTTTGCAAAGGTTCTGCAGACGCTTCAGATTTGGTATTTTGTTCCTCGGCAAGGGGAGAGGTGGTGACAGCGAGATCATCGTTTATAGTATCTTTGGAGACGGAGTGACTGGAGCTGTTGGCTAATTCCTCGGTGCCGTTAAGTTGGTCGGGTTCCGCACTTTCGTCATCTACATCTGGGCTTTGCAGTGATATTGTTACAACTGGCTCGTTCCCAGTACTTTCTAATAAAGTGGTAGGGGGCAATTCTTCAGCCATATTATCTTTCGCCACTACCTTCGTAGAAAGTGGTTCTTGAACGGTTTCATCCGTGGACTCCGAGATAGAAGACGCCCTTGTCGATTCTGCTTTTTCTGAAGGCCCAACGGGTGATACCGGGTAGGAATCGGATCTTGTAGCGTCTGAGTCGTCCGTTTTCATAGCGAAGCTTGTATCGAGGGCAATCGCGGATTGATCTGCTTTGGCCATATCAGTTAGCAAAGCCAAGGTATCTTGAATCTCCTGTGGAGCGCCTTGTGGCGTTCCAGGGCTCAGGGCAGAGGGTATCTCGAGATTTCTCGGAGACGTCGAAGAGTTTGGAGAAGTGGGTGGTATTTGCGCAGGCGCACCAGCACTCAATTGCCTCTTCCGCATTTCCATAGCCTTCATAAGTCTTGCCTTCTCTGGCGTAATTGTTGGGACTTTTGCATTGGGGGTGGCAGAATTCGTTGACAATGTTGTTCGAACCGAAACCCCAGAGCTGGTGTTTGGTCGTCCACCACTTGTATGAGGGCGAGAAGGGAAGAACGTGGGTAGAGTTCCATTTTCAGGAATAGAGGGTGGTGACAAACTCATACTGGGTGGCTCTTCAGACTCCTGCGAGTTCAAACTCGCCCGCCCCTTTTTTGACCCTCCCTTTGTAGATGCTTTCAACCCCTGTGGAAGTGTTGACACTGGACGACAGTTAGGGGCTCCTCCAGATGTAGTAGTTTTGCCAACATCGAGAGAAGGGCGAGGTCCAAGTCTGACTTTAGGTCTGCCGGCAAACTCGTGAGATGTAAGGCTGTACAAATCAGGTCGTGCGGACTGTGAAGATGTCCGAGGTGCTTCGTCAGTGGTTGCAATAGGTGAGAATGATCCGAATTCAGGTTCACGCGGCTCCCTTGGAGGAGGCGGAGAGGTATCAAGATCGAAGGTCAAAGGTGCTTTGGAACGTGGTGGAGGAGGAGAAGTTTCAAGACTGTTGTCCCCTTCTGCAACCATAGAAGAGAAAGTAAATGAATTTGGCAGATCGGCCGGCAGGGTGGTCGGATCAACTGTTGGCTGGGTGCCCGATATTGAGGTAATAGTTTGTGCAGTAGGGGGGCGCTCCTCCTGAACTGTGGATTGTCTTTTTGTTCTAATATCCTCCTCCTCGTCCTCTGCAATTTCCATTAAACGTCGTCGGCGCAAAGAACTAGTCGAAGATGAAACGGATCCAGAAGCAGTATGTAGTGAGCAGGCGGCAGACAGGGTCGTATCACGGAGCTCTTTCGCAGTGGTTATTTCGAATATCGTATGATAGGGAGCGAACTTTTCGGTAACAGCATTAAAATGAACAGTGACGCGAGCTATCAGATTATCAGATTGTTAGAATTTAGAATTTAGATTCCCAAAAGTGAAATTTTTTGACCGAGATCAACAAGGGAACCCACCTTGAACCAGTCTCGAGCATCCATCTGGCACATATTTGATGACTACGTTCCGTCGCCTGTATCGCAGAAACCCGAACAACGGCGATGGTTCTTCATATTGTCCAATTTTATTTCTTATTTCCACAATTCCCCCATTACCACGACCCATTAATTCTATTTCGTCTCTCGAAGCATACTTAAGCAGGAACCTACACGATGAATACAATATCAGTCTACTATATCACGGCGCACGCAGAGCAATAAGATACAAGATATTGAACACAAGCATACCATCCTCCGGGCTCAGCTACCGCCGCATCGTATGCTTCCTTGACCTTCGCATCATCCAAGCCATTCAACGACATTTCCTTGCGAGCCTCGTCGAAATTTGTTGTGGATCAGGGTAATTATACCAATCTTCCGGTTTAAACATTCGATTCAGGGGTAATCGTATCTGTACATGATATAATGTAATGCCGCTTCATCTGTAAAATGTGCGATTGGAGGCCCAAATAAATTGGCAGATTCCCAAAAAAGAAGCCAAATCCCCAAAATATCAAAAGCAAGAACAAAAGCAAAGGAAAAGAAAAGAAAATACTGAAGCCGGTCGTGACTCGTCGCTGTACAGAAGCAAGGTGTGTTAAGGGACTGATTGAAGAAGCAAGATGGATTATCGGAAATTATTAATAAATGTTCCAAAGGTTAGAAGATTGGAGAGGAACGGTACCTAAGTAAGTAAGGTGTTTGTCGAGGGGGTCTGCGCTTAATAAATGATTAAGATGCTTCTAGAGAAGATCTTTGACAATTCCTTTTTGAGGAAAGATTCATTGGTGAAGTTTTCTGGACCCTTGGAAGTAAGGTCCGGTAACGACGAGATAGGTAGCTAGCTAGTATATATCATGCTTTTTATATACGCCTCAATATCCGAAGGTTTACGCATCTAGTAGGATACTAAGCATGTGTCTAGCAACAAGTTTGACGTCGTTGATTAGATATCGAGATGATCGCTTCGACTGTATTCACAAGTATCAAAACACAACCCCTTTTATTACAGCTGAGCGGAAGGGTTGTCTCCCCCGCCTTTCAGATAAGTACCTACAGACAAGTATCTACCCGGTATCTCTCTGGGGATTATTCATGCGATTTGAAGATGTAATCTGTATCGGTTCGTGTTCTGTAACAAGTGTTCGTCCGAAGGTGCACAGATGAACCAGATGGACCAATAATTGAATCTAATCGTACTTACTCGACTATTCTGTACCGAGTAGCTACAAGTACAAGCCGTCTACATCGACTTGATTGGTAGCTGGCTTCGCACTCACTACCCTACTTGCATATCTTCCAAGCCATCTCGGTTCGATGCAAATATGTAGGTAGTTGATAGATACATTTTCTTTTCCATCGTCAACCTAACTAGTAGGTATCGACATTCTACGGAATCATACATCCAAACCCTCACCCTATCAAACCCTGGTGAATCTAAAATTCACCACAAGTTCACAACCCACGTTATTTACACGAGATGACAATTTAGTTGAAGATCTACATCTTGGGTAATTGTTTCATTTCTCACTAGATCCACTTCTCTCTATCTGTCACTTAATAATTATTTTGACTACTCGGTACTCAGACGGGTCTTTTTTTATTGCAGGGGCCGTGCTAAGAACAAAATTCCGAAATCCGGACAATGTCAAATCATGTACGAAGGAAGTACTTCGAATTTCTGATATGACCGTAGGTCTTATTATACGAGTATATTCGAATCAAAATTCTTTTTTTGAACGTTGTTGAAAGATCTTATCCTGCACTTTGTATTTATGTGCATTTAATCTTACAACCTGTGAAATCATGATATACCGACCGCGGTAATTATTTGGCACAAAGAAGAATTGAAAAGTGCTTTTGTTAACAATCACCATCATTTCCACCTTGTCTGAAGTGCCTCCTCATAAGCAGCCTCGCTACGGCTCTCCCATTGACTCTCTGGATCAATCCGTGAATCTTGCGGACGGTTATTTACCTTTAAACCTGTGAACTCGCATTTCCCAGCGAAATCACACGTGAACGTGCCTGATAAAGACTTGTTCTTGTCGTCAAAGGTGATACTCTCCAACCTTTTATCAGAGCCGAGTTGAATTTCTCCTTCGCCAGTCTCCTCGCCTCTCCAGCGATATGGCCATGTAGGTCTCCGGGCTGTGGGCTTGTCGTTGGCTCCAAGAAAAAAGGCACTTTCTTTGTGCTTACTATTACTCGCAACAGTTTGAGAAATGTCACTCATCATAACATCTCCATCCTCATCTATGGAAGAAGTACTTTCTCGCTTTCTCTTTTTATCAGCATTCTTCGGACTTGGCACACCATTTGGTCTTTCAAATCGCATGATGCCCTAATTGCAAAGTTAGCTATTGAACACCAGGCACGAGTCTATAATAAAATCATACCTCAACAACTATAAAATTGAACATTGCAAACATCTGATGTCTTCCATTCTTGTTTTCCACATAAATGTCAAGAATAAGGTCCGAGTCTTTCTCTCCCCATTCTTCCTCAATATCTGGGCACTCGACCACATAAGAACCTCGAACATCCCATAGACCTTCCGACTCAGTTGCGCTTGAATTGGCTCGCGCGCCGCTGGCCGACCTCCGTAATCTTTTTGCAGCTGGCTGTCTGTGGGCGATTTCATCCTCACCATCGTCCGCGAACAGGTCTGAATGAGTGCTAGTACTTCTTGTGGACTTTACAGCCGTCTGTTTTTGGGGGCCTGGAGAAACTGGCCCCGGACGATTAGGACTATGAGAATCACTATCGGAGAACAAATTATCATGAGTGGCAGTGCTTGGCACAAATTTCCTAGCTGTCTGTTTTCTCCGTGGTAGTGGTAGTATTGGGCGTGCTTGCTGAGTCCCAATTTCATCAAACACATTGTCGTGCGTTCCTGAACTGGGTACAGATTTCCTTGCTGTTTGTTTTGGTCGATCTCCAGGGGGTTTCTAAGAAGAAACGACTTAGCTCTTATTTATTACAGTGAGTTAATGTAATATGAAGTACACTTCAACTTCAGTATGACATATCAGAAGTTAAAGATACCATACATAGGGCCAATTTTATGCAGGAGGATTCAAAACATGTCCACAAAAAAGCCAGGCCATTCCAGTCAAGCTGAAGGTCTTGTCAATTTCACGATGATGCAAATGAGAACCAAATGATCCTTATGAGAATGCCTTTTGAACCCTATTCCTCTGGCAAGGCATTGTGAACGTCCGAACTATTTTCGATGATTGGAAGTACCTCTGAAGGAGAATAGGGGTTGCTAACCGTCCAACCTCAACTCAGAGAATGGATGGCACTGTAGACTTTACAAGTTCCGATCATCTGTATGGTACTACCACTTGAAAAGAGATAGTCTTTGTCGCTTGTTTTCTCTTACCTTTGGTGTATTTTCCTTGGACCGGGTCGCTGCTCGTTCAAGCTCACGCTTCTGATTCAATACAGCATCTGTAATTCTCCCCACTATTACCCACTGTTCTGGAGAAGACCGTTTGTTGCCCACCCGAGGAGCATCCACTAACAAAGACTCCAATCCTATCTTATGCGCAGCTTCAGCCAAGGCAGTTTTATGTTCATTCTTAACAACGATAATATCCGGTTTTGCTAGTTCTCCCGTGGCACTTTTCGGAAACGCTTCGTTGAGGTACCTTTGTGGATTAGCATCAGCCTTCTCCTCGGCAGTCTTCAATTTATCCCAATCGCCATCTCTCGCAAGTTTGTTTTGCTTCTTGAAATCCTTGTTCAATTGGGACTCTACGGCCTTGAGCTCTGGATCCATTTCTTTCTTCGCTCCTCCCAACCTCGACTGTAAATCGGCGACGGATCCAGTTTGTTTCAATCCTCTGAACGCGCATTGGGCTTTCCACCAACCTGCTGGTTTCGCTCCAATACTATTGCCTAGCTTTTGACCTTTGGGAGGTATCAATTTTTCGACGTGGGGATCGTAAGAATGGCCATCTTTGCGTAGACCTTCTCCACTGCATGTATAGGTGACAGCTTTGAATCTATGTTCAAATGGCGGGATGACAATTGGATATAGGTCGGTCATGATAACTGCAACTTGACGGGGCTAAGTCCTTGAATGATTCTTCTTAATGGCCTCAGAATGTGCGTCGCATTTATGTAGGACTTCGAGATTTTGCCGTGAGAAGTTTCGCATAAAGAAGACAAAGGAAATAAAACCAGTGACCATAATTAACACCAATTGAAACACCCAAAAATCGATACTCAAAGAAAGTACAAAGAATGAAAAAAAAAAATAATTGATGGCTGTTTTGGACATGGAGGCCAGGGGATTTGAAGTTTCGGCAGCCTGACGTCGTTCCTTGACCAGCCTTGCCGCTAGCGTGATTTCTTAGCGTGGCGGGCACCAAAAAATCATCAGGCCCGCATAGCTACTGTAAAGATATAAACCACCATCAGGAAATTGAATCCATACTGGCATACCACAACCCATACAACCCTTATTCTCTTTTCCTACGAACATAAAATCTAAAACTTCGCAAAGATGGTTGAATTGACAGAAGTTGAGGATGAGTCCTTTGAGCAAAAGCAAGCTGGACCATCTGAGGATGATTACTACACTGATACTGGTTGGTCTTACAATTGACTGCGATTTCATTTACAGTTAGCTAACGAACGCTCAACAAAGATTCCGAGATTTCCTCTGACGAAGAGGACAATGTCGCAGATGAGGAAACTTTCGCAGACCGCATAAGTGCCCTGAAAGATATAGTACCAGCATCTACTCGATCATTCATCTCCAGCAAGGTGGATGCAACTACGAGTTGGATCAAATCGGGTTTGATGTTTGGAGGCAAGACTTTGTTCGTTGTGAGCACAAGTGCTTTGTTATTGGGAGTTCCATGGGCATTGGCATTCGTGGAGGAGCAGCAGGTAGTTGAAATGGAGAAGGAAATGAAGATGAGAGAGATGGGTGGAGAGGTGCGTTGCTCAATCCAATCCAATCGCATTTCAATTTGAATAGTTCATACTGACACACTTACAATAGTTACTTTCCTCGGGCACAGATACAGCAGGCCAGTTGAATGCTCAACTTGGCGCACAACAAGGAAAGCCAGCATTGTAATGAACGAATCTGCTATGATACGAGATAAAGAAAATGAATCTGGATTGGGGAAGACATGATAGCATTGTACATCAGTGAGTGGCTTTTGGGGTGGGCGCATGATTCAGAAGGTTTACGGCCACAAAACCTGTGTATTTCTAGTTCTTCTCACCTCATGAACAAATAATTACTTCAGTAAATACTCGAGTACAATTACAAATCCAGTTCAATGTCACATGCAATAGCCAAGGTCCAAGTTAAAGTTTTTTCTTAATTTTGCAGATATTATCGATTTAGCCGCCTCGTCCGCCACTACGCCCAATCGCTATGATTCATACTTTGAAAACATTTATATTTCATACCCTTCCATAGTGTCGATTTATTATGAGATCCAAATAATATCAAAGCTCATAAAAGCTTCAGTGTAATTCTTATATCAAAAGAATGATTGTCTGAATTGATATTGGATATTGAAAAGAAAACATATATTGGTATCCCAGTTTTCCATCCTGTTGGTAGAGGCTGTTTGGTCTAAGTGTAATCCTAGCTGATTCATGATAACGGAAACCGCTTTTTTCGGGCACATGGAGACAGCCTATCGGAATTGAGGACTCCAAATTCATTCCTTAATTTGGCGCATGAATCAACCATAGATGAAATCGTAGAGAAAAAGTACCAGCCAAAAAGCTGGCTTATTAGTTCAAGATCTTATACATAACAAAACAGATTTTATGCATGATATTTGTGTCGCACAGAGTAAAGGCTGCTGCCCGAAGATCTTCAAATCCGGCAACTTGTTTCGCTTACGTAGTGCATACCCCTGTGTTGGAGTTGAATGTCATGGCGGCTTAAGCAAGGTCCACTTCCCCATGTTATGCGCTTGACTTCTACAATCTTACCGCTCCAAGTGAATGTCTGCTCCTCATCCCATAATCGCATCTACTCCTCCGGTCTTTTCTTGATCTGTGAACGTTTCGCCAACGCCTATCATTACAATACCACAAGTGAATCTCCAACCCTCTTCTTAAGATCACTGCAATTTCTCTGGAATCCTCCTGATCTGCAATTGTTTCAGCAAAGCCTGTTATTGTACCACCACAAGTCAATCTTTCAACCCTCATCTCAGGATTGCAGCAGTTTCTCTATCTTCTCCTTGATTTTCATAGTTGATTCCGCAAGAATGTCGAGAACACCTCTATTCCTAAACTTTACTGGAGATTCAAGCCGGAACCGTCAAATGTCGTGGTTACTAGCAAGTTCATCAAGGAGGAAGGAGAGAAGGTAAACTCAATGTTTGAGGATATATATGCTCATCGGATATCTAGCTAACAATAAGAAAATAGATGGCCTCTAGTACTTAGGTTCTGGAAAGGAAGTATCCATAGTGGTAAGATATATATCAGTCACTTACTATGAAGAGGAGAAAACGAGACTAATCAATATCTACGCAGAGGTTATCTGGCCTGTTACTATTCTTTCTGCTATTTCTGCTATTGTCGTATACTTGAACCAACACATCAGCAGCGATGTTACGCTTCCAACCAGTATCGTAAGTACTCTCCAAGAACTGGACGTTACAAGTGATCATTTGGGGCTCTACTGCACGGCTCCTCTTAGTCGTGGCATACCAAAATCAATACTATATCTTCTCAAGTATATGAAAGATCAATTGTCAATTGTATATTCAGCAATTCAAAATCTACCATTTCAATTTGAACAATCTGAAACCATGGGTTGAAGCTGATCGTCCATGCATGATAAGGTGAGGGTTCTCATACACGTGATACTCGCTTATCACGATACCGTGATTCAAGTCACGTGTATAAGAGCCCCCAACTGGCATGCTTGAGGCTTTGACAGATCAAGAACACACTCGATATCTAGATTGGTCTTGGAAGCTATGCCACTTTTAGACGGAGCCGTGTGTATACTCATATAGAGAGACTCAAATAATGTTCTTGCAACAAGGTTGAGAAAACGGTTTCTGACTGAGCCAAGGTTCCCTCACTATCCATTGTCGTTGGTCTAGAACTCGTATTTCGGAATCAAACAGCGTATGCCAGATTTTGGTCGGGCCGTTCTCACTTTGCAACCCTCACAACCTCAATCCGATGTCTCACGCGGCACCTACTGGTACTTGTTCCTGCACCCGCTCCTCCCGATCATCAATACGATTCATCGTTCACACAGAATGAAGGCAGTACGGATAGCTCAGCATATAAAGATTTTGATGGCGGAATAGATGTAGCCCAGCAGCCAATTTCCAAAGCACTTGAGGCAAAGACAATCGAAACTGTCAAGATTATGATAGCGATGTTGTATACGGTTAAAAACCACTTGAGAGCAGATTGGGGTGTGGAGCTTAGTTCAGGAACTATGATGACTGAAGAAGGTGATTTTTCTTGGCCAGCAGAATACAAGGATCTGCTGCCACAAGGCTTTAAAGGTCATGAACATATGGGATTGGGTCTTACACTTCAGTTGAGTACCTACGTTGAGAAATTCGTCAACACTGGTTGCAACTTGTAAGTCTGCCATTCATCCTCTTTTTTTGAGACAATTAAGTCTCTTCTATTCATCCTCTTGTCTTGAAACTTCTAACGGATACTTTACACACAGGAATTGGTTCAACAATAGTGCCTCGGCTCAGATGCTCGCCAAACTTAACGAACTCGTCGCAGCTTACGGCAACATGGAAGTGATTAGACTTGCACCTACCCCCGTTGCGCACCTCATCCACAGTAAGCAATCACTAGGACTCTTCTGTTGCATATTACCTTTTGCTATGGCTGCAGAGATTGGCTGGTGGACAGTCCCCCTCGTCGCTTTCGTAGCCTTCGCCCTCTACGGAATTGAAGGCATCGCCCAATGGCACGAAGATCCCTTCGGAACAGACAAGATTGACATCAATATGGATGACCTTGTCGAAGATGCTAGAAGAGAGATCGAAGTAATGTTAGAAGCTTGGAAAACTCAGGGACTAAGCGGAAATGGAATTTTCACGCCTAAATTGAGCACACCATTCACGCCACGAGCCGAATATGGTACTCTAGGCTGAGAGTGGTGTAAATGAAACTACTGAAGGACAGACACGATAAAGGGATATGAAATTGTTATGGTGGCATTAAATTTATATTTGGGGGGGTGAGGGGGTGCTATATCGATTTTCGGCTGCATGGGTCACGTGAATTGCATTGAAGGCAGTACTTGAAGGTGGATCGACAGCTTTTGCTATTGGCCTGGGAGCACCGCTCATTGTTGCAGATTGTTTTAAACATTCAAAGGTTGATATTCAGGTATTTTTGTGGGTGGCATATTTACTGGTTCGTTGTATCTAGTTTCCGGTAGACTAGACGAAGAATAGGTCGAATTGATTGGAGCATTGCTTTTCATTTGACGGATCTTAAGGATTCCAATTTCTTTTCGAATGTCATCTAGAAACAGTACAATCTGAGGATTTAAATTAGAGATTTTTGGGGGGATTTAACAGGTGATTGTTCAATAAGTACATTTGCTTACAACTGTTTCCGGCACTTCCTCCTCATAGGTCAACAATTCGGCGTAGTTTCATTGGAACCTTGATAATCCACCAGATTGGATGAGATTATACTAATTGTTATCTGCTCGACGGCTACAAATCATGACAAAGCCATGTGCGTCTAGATACCGATTAACTTTCCACGTTACATTTAAACGAAGCGATTGTCCAATGAGGAGGTATTGGTTGATAGAAATAGCGTCATTCCTGCCTCCGTGTTAATAATCTATGCTGACTTGCATCGCTAGATTTTTTTATATAAGATTCATTGCTCTCTGAAGAAAGGAGTGGTACTACGAGATATTTCAAGCAAGAAAAAATGGCTGGAGACATAATGCGTGCAATCGGTAAAAAAAAGAATTAAAAATCCCCTATAAAGAGGAGTTACATGATTAACGAATTGCAGATGTCGAAAACGGGAGCGGGCCAATCTCCAGTCTCTTTTTAAACAATGAAGTTCCCAAACCCAATCCTTCTATCTCACAAGCCCTAGTAAAGATCCATTCCTTTGGTCTCAACCGAATGGATTTGATGCAGCGGGAGGGGAAATACAATGTACCCCCACAGGCGGGGAAAATACTGGGTGTGGAGTTTTCCGGGGTAATCGAGAAACTTGGGGATGGGGATATTGGGGACTTTGAAGTTGGCGATGAGGTTTTTGGACTCGCGTATGGTGGTATGTTATTTTATTCGTGTGGTTCTTAGGGGTGCTGATGGTTTCACAGGGGCATATGCGGAGTACATTGCATCATCAACAAAAATGCTCATCCACAAACCGGATCATATATCTTGGTCTGTAGCTGCTGGGATTCCGGAGGTGTGTATTAAAGTCTCTATGTAATATGGTATTAACAGGACCACAGACATGGATAACAGCAACCCAAGCCCTACATCTCGTTGGATGCTTTAAACCAGGAGACAATATTCTATGGCATGCTGGAGCATCCGCAGTGTCTATCGCTGGAATACAACTATCCAAAGCCGCTGGGGCCAACAAGATACTCGTCACTGCTGGTTCCGATGAGAAGATCACTTTCTGCAAGAGTTTAGGCGCAACACATGGCTTCAACTACAATACTGAAAACTGGACCCAAGGAGTTCTAGATGCAACTGACGGATACGGAGCAGATGTAATTGTCGACTTCATTGGGAAGAATTACGCCCAGGGAAACTTTGAAGCCGCAGCTATGGACGGAAGGATTGTCCAACTAGCCAGTCTTAGTGGATACAAGCTTGATGGTTTAGATATCACTCCCCTTGAGAATAAGCGTTTACGATGGGAGGGAAGTAGACTGAGAAGCAGACCTTTAGATTACCAGGGGAAATTAAGAGATGTATTGGCCGAAACTGCGTTACAAAAATTTGCAGATGGTACTTTCAAAGTTCCTATCGAGAGGGTTTTTTCCTGGAAAGATATTAGGGAGGCTCATACGTTTATGGAAAGCAATTCGTCGAAAGGTAAGATTATCTGTACGGTGGACTGATAGTATTATTTGATTGACCGTAATGATATGTGGCGGCCTGCATCAAAATGTGGTGTTGTTTTTGACAAAAACAGTCACCGAGTCTGAATGAATACAAATTAAATACCTCCAGAATCTCATGATTGACTCGCACCGCGCTTTTCGTTCTGCACTTGAACTTCATCATCTACTTAAACCTTCTACTTTTACAACATCGTAATCTTCTAAAATAATTTTGTCAAAACGGGCACCAGCGGATTAATTGTACTGGATTCTTCGAGCTGTACAAGGAGGAGATGCACTATTGCCAATCTTGAATGGTGATCTTAAGCATTTGGTGGAAGTGGAAGTTGATTTCAACAATCTTTTTGCAGAATATTCGTACTTTCTCGACTTCCAGAAGATGACGTTGGAGACGTGGTGTTGCGAAAAGATGGTTCATACAGTGAGCTTTCAGGCGTTGAGAGATTCAGAACAGGATTGTATGGAGGTGCTACAGAGGAAATTGATGGAGGAGGAGTAAACTAAACTCAGGGGAGGATCTGAGGACAAACTCGACTAAGACCAGACAGCTTCTCGCCACTATCAAGAAGGTTACGTCGGATTCGAATGAAATCCATATTGCGCATGTTGTTGACAAACAAATGCTTTTATCGTCTCTCTCTATGTTCCTATCTTCGTACATTACAGTGATCCCGCGTGATTATCCGATCGTTAAGAACTGTATGAAGCGCCAACATCGTATTTCACCTACTTTCCGTGTTACATGAGACCGTTGTACGTGATAGGCAAGACCCTTCTTAATATCGCCGCTTTCCAGGCACAAACATACTTGTCGGAATAGATTCTTGCCCGACAGCATGTGTAACAACGCTTACTAAACTGCCCATACACTTAAGCTGTAACGGAATCCACCTACGAGTACCAAGTTATATCGAATGACAGTAAACATCCTGCTCTTCCGAATATTTCATTGTCAAAGTGTGGTAAACATTGCAAAATAAGGTATCGAAACAAAGTGGGGGCAATATAGGCAAAACTGTGCCTATGTTTTAGCTCCGTGCACCCTAGACCTCAGCTAAATTTCACTTCACTACAAATTCGATAACACGACGCAAATGAAACTGGTTGTTGAAGCCCTCAGACCCAATAAATTGGCAAATACTACGCAATCTATATCTGTGTAAGAACTCTTCCCTCGGTTTCGATATGGAAGTACGTCTCAAACAGCTCATAATGCTGCCACGATGCATCCAGCATGCAGTTCGCTGCTCCCAACTCTAACTCCAACTCCGCCGCAAGAGACATAGCTAAGTAGGCTATGGAGAAACTCAAGTATCAGGGAACAAATGAAATATAATCTCCGAATCGCAGTAGTCTTTCTATATTCTTCTCGATTTGCAAAGTCGATTCCGTAAGAATGTCGAGAACACCTTGGCACTCATTTCTCCCGGCCCTTTGTGAATGTCTCATGTTGAAAGTTCTCCGACTTCATTGACGTTTCGCCCAAATTCTCCCTCGCAGTTTTCAATTTCTCAACCAGATTTGCAACAGTTGCCTCCACCGCACAAACTGCATCATTCTTTAGTTGCCAAGTTTTTTGTTATTAGACGGTAAGGGCGAGGACGGCCTTCGTAACTTTTCGTTCCGACTATAACTTGTTGGTGTCTATCACAAATTCAAACATTGAAAACTTACTGATTGCTTTTCTTCAACTCGGCCTCATAGTATCACGCAGAAACGGCTGTCATTTGATGCTTCTTTAATTCCACTGCCAGCCGCCCCCAATGCATCCCCTCCCTGACATGTCTTTCTATTCTCCTCGGGACTGGGACAAGATGCACGCACAGATCTAGGTTGACTTGCAATCTCTTTTTCTTCTTCAATCATCTCATCAAGTGTCTGGGGCCGATTTGAGGAATGATCTAGTTGAAGATCTTGTGCTATTTCAGACGAGTGTCGTGAGTCTTCCAATGGTTCTGAGTCCTTGTGTGCTGTCGTTGCAGCCACGCCTGCTACTGATAACTCACTCTGCAGTTGCGTGGTCAAGAACGCCGATTGCGCTTTCTTTGACCCTTCTTGTGATATCCGTGGGTGTTCACTTAGTACAGATGCCTTCGAAGTGTGGTTGGACAAGACTCGTGCTGATGCTTCCGCCGCCTGCTTCTTGTTCGAGAAGTTTTGTTTCAACTTCCTCTGGTGTTCTTTTCTTCGTTGTATTGTAAGGATTCCCCAATCTATGGCTCTAGTGTCACTCATAGCCTTGGTGCGGCCTCTAGTTAGAGCATTCTGCCTTGGTCGCGAACCTTCTTTGAAATTGGTGGTCTTTACTGGTTTATTTGAGTTGGAGGTATTGTGCTTCGGTGCCACTTCTGATGCTTCATTCTGTTGATTGTGAGTATCTGCATGCTTAATATCCTGCTTTACTTGTCTAACAATGCTTTTGTTTTTCTCCGTAGCTTTGCCATCTTTGTTATTCACGAGAATGTGCGCATTTTCTCTTGGAAATTCTTCATCTGGCCCTGAAGTCTTTGTCAGAATTCATTCTATTCAAATATCCCAAAGCTCTTACAGAATTGATGCCAAAAGCATTTATCTGCCATATAAAGCATCTTTTCTGTACCAACTCGAACATATCCTCTGCTATATTTTCTATAACAAATCTGATAAAGTCGTGTGGCTTGCTTTTTTGTATATGCGGGGTCGAAACTCTGATCATCAACGAGCTTTGCTATCATAAATTCACCGCATGATATATAAACCATAATGAAAGAGTCGTTAAGGTGATATCACCGCGAGCTTCGTTATTGTATTTTATTTAATGCAATGGTGTGTGTAGTTGAGGTGATAAAAATTTGAAGATACCTACCTAATCTATCGAGAAAATAGGTTGAGGTGGAGAAAATTCGATAGTGAATCTTCAGTTGGAAAATATTCAGAATTGGTCACCTTTAAAAAAGCAAAAGTATAGATTAGATGTGATGTTTTAATTGTTCTAAGAAAGCTAACTAATCGACTCACGAGTCAATTGCAACGCCTCAAGTACATTAAAAGGCCTAATAGGCTTCTCATTACCACTCTTTAGAAACTCCTGTGTAACTCTAAACGCGATGTACTATTATGCGTAGAATTACAATCATGTCGTCCCAAAGCTTCTCAGTAATCCGAAAGTCATCTTTCTGCTTCTTCTCTCAAACCTCAAGTTGCGCCAATTGCTGTAAACCTTCATCTTGGTGAGCATCTGCCTCATGGTCCTCAATCTTCTCTCCTCTCTGTTCCATCTGCGCAATCTTATCTTCAATACTCTTGCTCCATGCCTGAGCCTCCTGGACATAGAACTGAAGACACCTCTGCTGTTGGGCACGATACAATTGGTCATTCATGGCATTCAAACGTTCGACAGGAATCTTGCTATATGCCCTATGAATGACCTCCTTATCATGCGGAGTCAAGTAACAACCTTGGCGGGGAAACTGCTCATGGGGCCCTATTTTTCAGTCAGAAAATTACCTAAAGTAGAAAGGGCCAATGTTTAACATGCAGTGAGAACGCCAGAACAACTTATCTGCCATGAAAGTAATGGTGCCTTCACTTGCTCCAGCACATACTTGGGCCATGGTGTGGTAATGACTAGCGTAGTGGCTCAATGCGGCTTCCATGGTGATGATGGATGTTCCTTCGTGAACCAATCGGTGGACCATGTACTGCTTGAGGGATGGGAGAGACAAGAGTGATTGTGGCATCAGACTGTCTGGTCTAGTTTCAGAGAGAACTGATGAAGCTTGCATGGCTGCGTGCGACATGTTGAGCAATATTGATGGAGATGGTTGGTATCTTGATGGTGTTTCGGATATCGAGGTATCGTCGTTGGCGACTTTACTTTTTGTAGAAGCAATTACAGAGAAAAGGTCAAAGTCGCATGCAACTTAATAAATAAATAATGGAATCCAAAGATCTTCAACCAAGCTAGGCAGCAGTGCAATAACACACCATATTCTTTCTCCAAGTTTGTTGAAATGAGAAACGGGTTGTGCCGTGCCAAAGATCTGTAAAACAGAAACTCAAATACCACGTTAGTGACTTTACGGCCTGTGAATCATTCCAGACCACTCGTTACCTAATTCACCTCTCATCTCATCTCTCACCTCATATAAAAAAGCGCAGCTCGCTCGAAACCTAATTTCCGAGATTTAAATCCGCGCCCGAAATACAGTATACATCTCTGTAAGAATGTGAAGTGAACCAACAAATTTGAATGGATTGGGTGGCACTCGATAGGTGGCTCTTTGTTCTTGGATTTGAGGTATCAGATTTGGGAAGGGAAAGTGACGATGTAGTGAATTGAAGTTAGATATCAAGGTTGGATGCACCGATCGAGGTCGAGTTTTATAAGAAGGTCATGGATCGGATTTAGCTTTCAAGTTTCTTTGGTTGTTGGATGGGGAATTTGAGGAAGACAATCGATCTTGATGGTGAGATATGAGATCGATGAGTTCTCTTTACGTATCTATTTGATTTCATTGCAGAGTTCTGGTAAATTTATGAAACGCTGTTGAGAGAAGTAGATGTGTATGTGGTGCAAGTCTTTTCTATGTATCAGAGCACTTTGTCTGAATTCGTATTGTAACACTCTCCACTTGGTCATGGTACGTGAGGTCGTTGTGCTTTGGTTGAAATGAATGCTGATGATGTTTGCTCTATTCTGGAAGATTTCAAAATTTGGGTTCTTCATCTTTCTATCCCTCGAAGTCCCAAAGCGTAAATCATTCACGAGTTGGAAGGGGACCTTTTGTCGGGCTGTGTAGTAACCAGATTGTTTTCTATAATTATTTCTTTGAGAACACGCTGGGAAAGCTAGAGCCTAAAGTCCAATCTTTCATGATAATGATGTACATTCTTCTTAACTTTGTTCGGTTTCCTCCATTCGCTCATCCATTGATACAGAATTTGTGCTCCTATAGTCAAGACTCCCATGCTGCCCATTCACCTCTCCTTTTCCTGACGCCATGCATTTGTTCTCCTCGCAATCTCGGCATGTTCCTCTGCAATCATTTCATTGTAGGTTCGGACTCTTGGAGCTTGCAATAGTACACCACCGCTAGGCGACTCGTTTGAATCTACAGCGAGTATAATGGGTCAGCGATGAAATTCACGTGAGTAGCACCAACAGTAGATTCATGGTAATGATTCATTACAGCTCAAACGAGGGGACAATGTATTCTGAGATAAGGAGACTTACAAGCTGGAAGACTAGATCTTTCTTGCTCTTTTGTGTTATCCTGGATTTGAGACCGAGTTTCCTGATCTGCTCCAATCTGATAGGAATTTCCAGCTCTTTGGCTCTGTGGCTGTTGGTATATTTCTTTAAAGATTTGTCGAATTTCCTCCCTGCTTGCCTTGCGATTATGGTTCTCCACCTCACCTGTGCTAAAAGATTGAGCCATGTCCGGATAGAATGATTGTCGTACTGATATCTTCTCTGCATTTTCTGTCAAGCTTTTCAGATAGAGCTCGAGTTTTCTTAATTCCCCTTCAAGATCTTTAACAAGATGCATATCTTTCCTAGATATTTGTAGTGGTACTTGATTTGGATGTTTCCATGCAGGATCGCGATATTTAGACTCTTTCTTCCTGCTTCTCGAGTCAAAAACCTGGGGATTTTTCCAAAGGTCTCGATTGTTCTTAGCAAATTCTGCAGTCCAAGGCGAGAATGATTTATGTTTGATGGTAATTTTGCCAAACTTCTCGATGAGTCTATGGTCTTGCAATAATCTCAAGGGAGGCTTATTATTGCGCATTTTCACGGCGTAATTCCATACTGTGTTTCTGGCACGACCTTGCTTTTCACACTCATAGAACTGATGATCAAGACTGTTGCAGACGGGACATCCATCCATATAGCCTTCAACATTGCAGATCATGCATACTCCTAGTTGATGAGTTGGATCTTTGCAGTTCGCGCAAGGGCCAAGACGATTGAATGCATTTAGTTCTTTCTTTTTTGTCTTGTAGCTGGCTACATCGAAATGCGCACCAGTCTGTTCTGATCGATCAAAGTCCATGGATGCACTTTTTGTCGAATCATGCTTCAAAGAAGGATCTTGTTGTCCTATCGGAATGATCAAGTAGCCTGGCTGTTGATTGTTCATCGTCCGCAGATCGTTTCCAGTAATCATGACTAGCCTTGGGTTGTTTCCCATGATCGTTTGCAAATTGGAATAAGTTGTTTGCACTTGCGGATCATTGATTCCAATCATGTCAATTTCTTGGCTTGGCCATGCCAATTGGTATGGTGTTATCGGTGTGCTGGTGTTGGTATACATCTCAGGTTGAGCGAAAAGTTGCGATGATTGTGACTCTGTAAACAGTCTCTCATGACTGAAAGTATCTTTGTTGTCGCCTTGAAAGATGAAAGAGGCTCCCTGTCCCGTGTGATTTTCGGCCTTCCTCTTTGATTGCATCTCGAATTCCAATGGTGGTGGTCTGAAGGGAAGGGAACTTTTGCCATTCATTCTTGACTGGAATGAGGACGGGGACGAGTCACCACTCGATTCATTATTGATATTTGGAGGGCGATTCATTTCTTGGCTTATGATGATTGATTGATTGGGAATGGATGTTGGAGTTTTGTAAAGTTATGAAGGTCCACAGGAGAACAAAAATGACCTTTCAACCAGGAAAGGAAGGTGTACGGTTATCTAGTACTTGCCGAACTTCCTTTTGTGAGATATGAAGAGACATTTTGAATAGACTGAAAACATGGAATTATATTTAGATTTGCTACAAGCTTCAAAATCTAGATAGAGTGATTGCTCTGTTCACAAGGTAGTTCATCCTGTACTTATTTTATGCCACTTTTCACCATATCATGCCCATCTTATATCACACTTTTAAAGAATCAAAGTAAGCAGAAGTTATTTGATAATTGAGTGACTTGTCAAGAAAATTCTACCTGCATGAACAAGGGCAATGCACTGGCAAATTGGGATGACCGTAGTCCCAAATTTCGCACTCTTATTACTGTGTATGTTCTTGGATAATGTTTGCCAATGTAGTGGTGAGTGAATTCTCCAACAACGAACGGGCTATAGGCTTGGTCATACGATTTGGTGTCGCCTTGACGGCAGCTTGTGCCTGTCTGATGGCAATTTCAGCACCACGACCAAGACATCGACGCTCAAACATCTTTATCGTGATTAGTTCACCAGTGTCAGGATCTTTGACAACTGAATCGGGGAGTAGGAGAGGAGGAAGAGGTGCCAACGACAAGGATGGTGCGGCAGGTGTAGAGTTGGATGTTTCAATGGGATTGGAGAGACCAGGTAAAGCAAGCCGAGCAGTTAAGATCGATGAAGGGGTTGAAGTCAGAGACTCGGTTCCAGCGGTTGATACTGGGATTTCATTGGGAGTCTGCGAGGTGCCTAGGCCTTTGGGATTGAGTGGGACATTAGCAAAGCCTTGAGAGTTTTGTACTGGAGTGTATGGGCTTTCGGGATAGACAAAGTCTTTGGGGTAATCTCGAGGTGCTTGTATTGGTACCGAAGCTGGTGTATTTGGAGGCTTGAGGTATCCCTCAAAATGATTCTGAGCTAGTTTTTGAGATGGGATTGCCATGAGATCCACTCGTTGTTGAACAGGTCCAGAAACAGGTGTTTCGTGGGTAGCTTTAGATATCTCTGGAGTCTGACTTCTGATTGGCTGGGCAGGTTTCGCAGAGCGGCTTGGGGTCCCCAAAGTCTCTAGGATGCTATCAAAGAAATCTGCGGATATCGCAGGTGCTGGTTCAGCAGATTCTGGAGTGGGAGGCAATTGTCCAACTTGTTGTTGAATAATATACTCAGGACCACCATATCTACCAGGAAACTCGCCATATGCACTAGATAATTGAAATCTATTCCACAGGACCTTTTCAGTCCAATAATAACAAAAGTCCAAACCAGTCAACGGATATTGAGAAATGACCGAAGCAAGCTCTTTTTGGTACTCGCGGTCGAAATTATCTGTCTCAAAGTACGGGTGTATGCTGCAAAGATTTAACAGCATGGACTGATGATGTCTCTGATAATGAGGAGGCCGGATGTAGGAGTTCGACATGTTGTGAAAGTAGGATGTTGTTTTGTATGTTGGTGGCTGTGTACTCTTAGTAACTTCTGATCGCAGACAAGGCTGATGTTCTATCGTGGGCGAGTAAGTTTGAGTATCTTTTTGATTTACTGTGTAGTTATGTTGCTTGTCTAATGACCTGCTTATGGTATGGAAATCTTGGGAATCGGGTAGCCCATATATAGCAAGATGAAAGGAAGCGTGATACGGCTTTCGCTTTGGTTCAAAGAAGACCCAAAAAATATGGTTTCTTGTGACTTTCATACTGCGTAATTATACACAAGTCTGTGCCAGATAGTACGATAGAAGATCGGATTCAGAATCAATTGATCTGGAAATGACATATAATAACCGTACGTTGTGGTGAAATGACTTCAAGCAGTAGCAGTATTTGTGCTTGTTGTCAAAACGTATCATAAACCCGGATTTAGAGCTTGTTCTGGTTGATCATGCTAACACAAGTCTTTTGTGTTGATACACATAATGGTTCAACATGGTTTAGACGGTTTAGAAGAGGCTCGAAGATTATTCACAAGTAAAGCAAAAGTACACGCAACCATCGAATACTAAATCACTCCTTGCTAAGTCATTGAACCAATGTGTCTCTTCTTTTAAAACAAAGTGCTCTATCACCTTCAAGGCAGTAGACACACACAGCGTCAAAGGCTTTGTGGATGTCCAGATCTCACCATGAACATAAGCAAGTTTCTATGGCAGAGCGCAAAAGAAAGCTCGCCTGATGAATCTCAAATATCGAGACCTTCACTTATCTTCACCTGTTTGGACACCCATGGAAATACGAACGAATTAATAGATTTGTGGTAAGCACTGCTCACAATCTTTGCTGGTTAATTTTGTACTCCTAACTTCAAGTTTCGGACAAGTTACCAATCTTCGTACGTCTCAATAGGCTATATCTGGAAGACAATATGAGTTTGATGCCAGACCGTAGTGAAGACTCTATTATTGCCAGACGAAGGTAAAGAGTAACAATGACCAGCTACCGCGTATAAGATTCCACCTATCTAGTCCCCCTTATACTCCACGAATCTTGAATTTCTGAATATGCGTATCGACTTGATGCCGAGGCATTTTATATAAGCAAAGTGCGGGCCAGAGTAAGCTCTATCTGCATTTTTGAAGGTTGGTAATTAGTCTACCAATACCTTTGATTGATGGCTGAAGATAGTAGACATTCTTGGTGGCGATAGCTTCCCAATCGAAGTGATTTCTTGGAAGAAAAGCGCTCGAAGCAGGTATGAAGGAATCCGTAGGGAAGTCTACCGGTTTAGATGTCGCCAGGTTTTCAAATTTGCTCTCGCAGAATTGAATACTTGTATCAATCATTTTCCAACTGCATATTTCATTTCATATGAAAATGAATTGACAGACAGAACAGGCAGAAAGTGCTGTCATAAGAAACAATTCCCACTGTACAGATTTGGTCAACAACTGAACAACTGGGTTTTCTCAAAACTCTGGGTATATATTGACAAAATCTCAATTGTCCTTCCATCAAATAACACGGCCTGCTGGCCCAATGGCAAGGCGCTTGACTACGATTAAAGGAATTCATCCATTAACTCGACATCAAGAGATTGCAGGTTCGATCCCTGCGTAGGTCAAATTTGTTTTGCCATTTGCATATGGATGTGATATATGGGGCTAAAACGGAGGCTAAAACGGGTGCTAAAGCAGGGGATAACGAAGGGATCTTCGCATTAGGCGAAGTCTAGCGGTTTTTTTTTTCAAATAGTAGTACAGAACCCTGCTATTTTAGCTAATCTTATTTAAAGGTTTAACCTCATCTGAAGTAGAGCATCTAAGACATAACGTTGAAAGCGACTACATGTTGCTAGAGGGGTAAGAGGAGCAAGCCCATAATCATCTTCTACTTTACTACTTTATCATTATATTAATCTTACAAGAAAATCTGTCAGCTTTGAGATTATCTCCGAAAGGCTACGATAGACACAAAGTGTTCTTGATTGGAGAAAAGAGAGCGTGTGGTACTTAATCTCCTCGGCTAACGCCCACCTCCTTTATCTATCAACACATCAAAGTTTACGGCAAACAAATAGCCATTGCTTTCATAAATACTTAATCATTTTCAATTTTTGAAGTTCTTTCGCATATCGTTTTGATACTCAATTGGCTTTCGAGAAAAAAAGAAGAAAAAAAGAGCAAAATTTGCAGCTTGGAGCGGGGCAAGTGGGGCGGCACAGGCTCATGCACTGGACAAGAACAAATTTTGCAAAAGCATGATCTGAAGCAGAAAAACACTGAAACAGCAAGAAACCAAGTCGGTGGAACATTTTGTAATTTAGAAATCAAATTACCATGCTGAGGTTTTTGTGGAAAATTTAGGTATAGCGCGAGGGGATAGTTTTTCACACTAGACCAAATCATATGATTGTGATTGGTCATATGATGATTTACACGATGAGCTATATGGTAGTATGAAAGTATGAAAGTATGAAAATGATTGTATGTTATAAATTGGGACAATCATAGAGATTTAAAATAAAAGGAGAGGAGGGTTTCTAAGAGGTTTACCTTTTAATCTGTACTCCCAGTCCTACTCCTAAATACATGGGCCCCAAAACAACGTACACAACGTACACGCCCAACTGATATACGTACTGCAAAACCTCTCTATAAATGCTCTATCTATTAGGAGTGCACATTTTATACTTTCTTTCATAGCCCTTGTGTCTGAGAATGAGGGTGGAAGTACAGACATAAAGGGAAAACGTTTGTAGCGCAGTCAAATATTATGACGGTATGAATACCTACACAACATATGGCTGGCTACTAATCATTGGTGGAAAAGTTCTGTGAAGATGGATCTCAGATTTTGCAAAAGCGAATAATTTGCAAAGCATTCACGAGAGGTTTTTGATATCTGAGTTATGGGACTGAGCGACTGACTGTAGATGGTATCGTATATACTCAGTCGTAACAATATGAACGTTCAATCCGCAGTCATCACCTAAAAGCTTCAATGTTGATCAACTAAAATATAGACATTAAATAACTATCAAAAATGAAATCGCTAAATTCAATACATTACACTCCCTGCTTTGGGAACCACTAAAATACCTTCTTCTAACAACCGTTCCGCCAGTTCAAAAATCATCCCATCACACCCTTTTCTCGCAATAATGTCAATTGCCACTGGTAGATATTCTGTCTGTAATGATATGGTAGAGTTGTATGCAGCTTGACCTATTGGGAACACCATATCTGGAACTTCGGCAAAGTTGGATACGCGGCTGACAGACCATCCGGACGGTACTCCTGGGAGACTATTCATTGATCTCGGTTAGTAAAAAATGGATTTAAGCTTCGAATGTTTCAAGTTTCTGATTGTTGGACCACAGTCCGGACTACTGGATATTCCTATGGATGTGTGGAACAATTTACGTACCTGGTGTATGCATTTCTATACGATGTTGTTGCTAATGTCCCAGGATAGAGAAACAAACTTTCACTACAGCTGATTGGGCTAGAAGGTACAATTTCTGCGGCGAACCAATCCATGAAAATAGTTTTGTTATAAATGGCTTGTTCGGTTGCATCGGCACTGATGTTGTTTTGTCCCCAAGCCCATCTGCTTAGTGGTACGGGGTCAATGAAAGGGCGGGCGCCATCATTTGCAGCGGCGTAATCTGCATAAAACGGTTCGGCAAGGAGACTGTACTGTTGTTGAGTGATGAGGGTGGGATAGACAAGACTGAGGAAGTCGTTAATTGATGAGCCATTTGCTCCAGATGGGCTTGTTTGGTTCCAAAGAGCCCCCATATCTAGAGCAGTCGTGCTTGTCGAGTTAAGAAACGTTTCTAACTTCGCCAGAAAATCAAGTAAGACTGATTCAGCCTCTGTTGTGGCATTCTCCGGGAAACCTGATGTCCAGATCTTCTTGGGAAATTCAGTGAAGTTGCTTGTGATATTGTTTCCATACAAGACTTTAGCAGCTTCGTGCCACAAAATTGGATCTCTGGTGAGAAAACCGGCGGTATCAAGAGTCGGAGACAAAGGCATAACGTTATCCAAGCTAACCATTCCATGGGATGGTCTATTACCGAAACATCCATTGACTTGAGATGGGTTACGAATACTTCCACCAGTATCGGATCCAATGCCAAGGTCTAACCAATCATAAGCACCAATTCCAGCTCCAGGACCAGAAGAAGAAGAGGATGGAGATTGGTATCCATCACCGCGGGCGTTGAAAGGGCAGTGATAGTCTACCCAGTCCGCGGTTGGGCTTTCCCCGTTAGCAAATTGAGATGTCTTCATTTTCCCAACAATGATTGCCCCTGCATCAATCAAACTCTGAACAGCGGGTCCGGTAACATTTGCCGGTGGATAAAGCTCATAATATGCACGATTGCCATTACTGGTCTTGATTCCTGCAATATCATAGATATCCTTAACACCAAGCCGAACTCCAGCGAGTGGCTTTTCAGCAGTTTTAGTGTAGTAGAGTCTGGAAGGCACGCCGATAGTAGAACTCTGCACCCCAGGAATAGATGCACTCAGAATGGAAAACGTTCCGTCCGAGTTCTCAATCGTTCCTTCAGTAAAAGCATCCTGTACATCAGAATACAAGCGATAAGCTTTAAAGAGCTCGCCTGTATTTGGTGTTAGAAAGTATGGCCCTGGCGGCACTGGATTGTTTGAACTGCTGGTAAACTTTTGAGTTCCATATTCATGACAAACGTTTGATAATGAACTAGAATTAGTAGAACCAATAAGGTGGACAGCTACTTAGGTTAACGACTGATGGTATTGAAATTGGAAAATGAGCTTACCTTCCAAAAATCCGGGATTGAATACATCGTCTAAGGCAGTGTAGTTGGTAACTAATGATTTGAATGTCGCAGCGGTGAAATTTTTCTCTGAACTTTTCATAACCGTCAAAGGAACCAAGTCTGCTGTACTCGGCTTGGAATGGATGGTTGCAACAGCGTCGACCCCAACATAATAGCTGATGCCATTAACAGCAACGGTAGTTCCGGTCTTCGAGATTGAGATGGCAGCATTTGCCATGCTCATCAGGGACATTGTCACAGCAGCCGATTTCAACATTCTGAAAGCCATAGTCTCGGTTTAACGAAGGGAAATTCGTCCGATCGCTCACGATACTTGTCTGTTCACCCAAACGATAGAAAAAGGCCGATATTTATACTCTCAACAGCGGGACACAAGTGGAATGTTATTTTGACAGCCATGAATACCTAGTAATTCGTCTTGGAATATCCCACCGATAAGATGGCCAAGAACACCAAGATACGATGGGTTCCTGCATATCTCCTTCGGCATTCCTCGATTGCGGTTCATCCTGGAAAAGGTTGCCCCGCACAGATAAGATAAATGAGTAAGGTGGGATGGATCAAAAGTTTACTACACAACGAAGGTCATCCGAAGACTTTTGGTGAGAAGCATCTATCAAAGCTTGCACTTGTTATATCAATACAGTAAAACCTCTTTGTAAGAATCCTCTTTTCGATCCCATTGATTTTTGAATCGGAGAAAGACCTATGTTATTAAACCTGTTATTTCGGAATATTCTTAACATATCAAATACCAGGTTCTCCGAACTGATTAGAAACTAGAAATCGAAACAATACTATGATCTTTTGAGAAGATTTTGATTGCAATGGAGCAATGAGAAATTGTTACCCAGTAGTATTCAATCGAAACTACTCGGAATGTAGAATACTACTTAGTCGAGATAGTCGAGACTTCTATATGAGAAGATGTATATCCTTAATACTGATAGAAAAGCATCAACCTAGTGGACATGCCTAGCAATTGGCAAATGCCTTTACGGTTCGAGAATTGTAAGATAGCACTTAGCCTCCATACATCCTCTAAGTAGACCGAGTTGTCTATGACGAAGTCCGCGTTAGCAACACTTGAATTGACCGATGTCAATAACTAGATATGTAGAAGAAGTCTCCAATCCCTGGCGAGATAAGAAAATCCCCGAGGTCGGCAAACAACACAACACAACTCGAGACAATACGGAGTATTCCCAGCCTCGTATCTTTAGTGGGGCAAGATCAAGACGGGAAGTGCACACGTGACACACGAGAATCGAGAAATATTTCGAGCTTTCTCCCATTCATATACGTGATTCCTATCCCCGGTATTATCAGTTTGTGATAGATATTATGTATAGCTTATCTTAGATTCAAGCTGTTACTATCGCAAAAAGTGTAAAAAGTGCTCATCTAGCTCTTTGGCTAATAAAGCTCTGTCATCACCCACGATTCCCCTCAATACTTCCTACATATGTATCGTTTGAATTCGGAAGAAGACTGCAGAACACTTCGTTCTGCGGTCATCTTCGAAACATCACGCCTGCAAACATGGCTCATCATTGTGAGGAATGTATAGGTGGCATAACAGAGCGATTGAAAGTTTTGTTCCAAAGTTTCAAGCTTTATTCTGAGAGGGGATTATTGTAAATTATATAAGCTCGTTATTTACACCTCTGGTTCTAGCCGCATAGAGAAATCCAGACAGATGTGTTCGAGGTATGTTACTTTGCCGGTTTCCGTGTTTATTAATTCGCCATTTCCTACTCGTCTTTCAAATCCCACACGTGCTCGTTGCCGGAATTCGACTGGCTGCGAAGGAGAAAAGCCGATACATATATCCGCAGATCAACACGATTTACCCCACCTTCAACTTCCAGATATCGAAATCTTACCCAGTCGAGCCAGTGTTGATTGAGGTCGACGGGAGTAAACTTTCTCCGTGCAAACTATTATTAAGAGATAGTAACACCAGGGTCCTCGCGTACGCACATATTTGGCCAATAACTTACACCATGTGCAAGATGATCGAAGAATTAGGAAGGTAGAAAGTTCTACTTTCTGAAATATCTGCAAGTTCAGGGTCGAGGCTATACCCATCTGCATTCTCCTGTACAACTTCAATATCCATGATGTAGCATTGTCCTATCACCGGCTACACGTGCATGTGCTTAGTGCTCTGCTGTCAAATGCAGTCCCACGGCCGGCGGTGGCCGGGAGTGTATATGAAGCAGCAAGAATCTTCGATTCCACGACTTGATCTCAAGGGCAAATAATATCTTTATTGATATCATAATGTTCGGTCTCGAGGTGATAACGATTGCAGCCTTATCTGGCGTTGCTCTGGCTGCTCCCCAGAATATTCAGTATCATGAGACCTCTGACAATTCGTGGAAAAGTCGAATCAAGAATGTTGTCGTTCTCGTCGAAGAGAATAGATCGTTTGATACCTTCGCGGGTGGTCTTAGCTACAACTCAGCTATTGATGGATTATTGCACCACAATTATTGCAATTCTATGTAAGATTTCTCAAAAGCTTACAATTATCGTTGGACTTCAATTGACAGACAGAAAGGAATGCGTCAAATCCTGGGCAAAAGGCCGATGTGTGTGCTGGGCCTCGTGCCAATGATGTTGCAGCGGACGATCCAAACCACAGTATAAGTGGTGTTAACATGCAACGTATGGTTCTCCTTTATTTCTATCGCTACTCCAGCGTTTCCAATAGTCCGGACTGCAGTCCAGTAATCAAAACTTTTCATCATCTGAATCAAATTAAATGATTCAAATAGTTTGAGTTGCTGAATTCGGTTGGATGATATATTGCTTTCAAAAATGAAAGCTTACCTCAAATTCTGCTGGTCCGGACTATCAGATGACTTGTACCGTTCGCTAATATATATAAGTCTTCACAACATATCATCCATCTGGATCACAATCCGAAAGCATGCGTGGTTTTGTGACAGAACAATCCATCACCTACAGCACCTTGAACAAGACCCGTGCCGCTGAAGCCATCAACTACTACACCCCTGATCAGGTTAAAGTCTTCAACACCATGGCCGAAAACTTCGTTCTTTTTGACCGCTGGTTCGCTTCTGTCCCAGGTCCTACCAATCCCAATCGTGCCTACATCACGAGTGGAACATCGCATGGACACGGCAAAAATGACAACGCTTTCAACGTTTACGGTATTCCCGTAAAATCCATCTTCGAACAACTTTCCGAGAACGACATCACCTGGATGAACTACCAGAACTCCACCCTCGGACCTGGTCTCGGTTTCAACCCAGATGCTGCATTCTACAACTGGACCCTTAGCTCTGGAGCATATGAAACCAATATTGCCCCTTTGACAAAATTCTACGAGGATGCGGCTGCAGGCACACTGCCCCAATTCACATATATCAACCCAGAGTGCTGCTCTTATCAGTCATACCACCCCCCATCACCCATCAGCTCCGGCGAAAGCTTCATCAAAGGAATTTATGAAGCTATCCGATCATCCCCACAATGGAACGAAACCCTCTTTATCCTCACGTTTGACGAGCACGGCGGTTTCGGCGACCATGTTCCTCCCCCACAAACGTACCGGCTGGAGATGATCTCACATATACTGAAATAGCACCCGATGGAAAAAACATGACATTTGATTTCAAACGCTTGGGTGTCCGCGTTCCAACGCTTTTAATCAGTCCGTGGGTTGGCAAGGGGGTGGTGGAGAACAAGGGAAAGAACAAGGGAGGCGAGTACACGCATACGAGTATTATTGGATTTTTGGATGAGCTTTGGGGATTGGATCCATTGACTCCAAGAGTTAGCTGGAGTAGTACCTTTGAGGGATTGATTACGAATAAGTTGAGGACGGATACACCAGTCACTCTACCGGATCCTTTGGCTTAGACTTAAGAAACAATGTTTTGGAGGGCTATCAGATGAATCTCATCCTGAATCTTTTGAAGAAATTCCCGGGCACAGTCATCAAGGTACCAAATTCAATCTTTCAGATAATTCATATTTTAAAAATCATTCGAAATCCCAAAATATAGATTCATCTAAGCACCAAATAGGTCACTAAATTAAGACTTCAGATGGACCGCTGAAATTTATTCTCCCAATGTCCCGTTCAAGTTTGTACATAGAGACCAAATAAAGGTAACTGCGGTGATCAGGAATTTTTTTTCTCGCTGTATTTGAATATGACCAGGGAAAGAGAAATATTACTTGTGCCCTTCATTTCATTGTAGCCTCAGTCGCAGAGCTATTTGTGCATGTTGTCAGGTTGTTCATGGATCTGTAGCTTCGAAGCCTTCGCCAGATACATAACAGTCATCGCCCAACGTTATTCCACTCTTCAAACAACACCGCTCTCGCTTGTATATTCCCCAAGCTACACTAGTCCGAAAAAACAGCTTCTCACTTGTCGGCAGATAGGTATCGGAATACGGAGATATCATAGAATTGATAGAGCCAGAGTGTGTTGATGAATAGACTATAGAATGCCACGTTGAGGTGTTGAGCCGAGGAGTTCGCGATTGTATGTAAGTGTTAGCTTAAATAATACCCGAAAATGAATTCAAATAAGATTGATGAGTATGTATTAACTCTTGCCGGGTTCTTTGGGCTTTCAGGCTCAACATCATTTGACGAGCGACAAAAGTTTCGATCGAATATGCAATGTACCCCTCATTGTGATCCTTCGACGTCTGTGCCTCTGTGATGTATTTGGGCTGCTAATTGAATCCGTATTGCTCCGTTTTGTGTGCAATAATCGCCGCATTAGCGTCCCGAAGCCTGTCTGTGTTGCAACCATTAATCGATCATTTAGAGGCGTCGGCTTGATGCTCAGGTATGTGTAGTAATGACGGTTGAGCAAGCAATGCCAACAAGCCATGATCATCTTTATCATGCAATTCGAGGAAATATCTTTGGTTCTCGTATGGCTGTCGGATTTGTCTCGCAGCCACAACTTGAAATGGACAAGGTCTTCATCACGACAATGTCTCGTTGTATCTGGAACAGCGTGCATGTTATACAAAACTAACCAATTGGTGAAAGTACTGGCGATGTATTTTCGAGTCTTCACAGATCAATTGTCCGAGAGCGGAAAAGATAAGGGGAATGCTGTGACCCATCGTACTGCGTATTTGAGGATGATATGATGATGATGATGACGTGCATATAATTAACTCTGTGAGGTATCTTTTGACCTAAGGTTCGCCGAGCATTTTGCTGAGCATGGATTGAAAGATAGAGGCTGAACTAAATCCGTCTTAAAAGTTCTTGGTTCTTGGTGTCGAACGAACTTGTCGAACTTTTCGATGTTTTGATTCCAGTGGGCATATTACAATACGAGAATACCGAGAATATCTATAAAAATAAAAGTAAAATAAAACTACCCGTATGTAGATATTTTATTGTCAATGCTCGCAGGATTAGATTTCAAGTAGCAGCAAGTTAGCAACAGTGTAGATATTTAGTAGCTTATCTAATCCTTGATTAGCCTCCTACGACTGTGCGTATTCGAAGGAGTATATGTTCGTGCGCCCTTTTCGACGTCAATCAGCTTTCTTCCTATTTTCTTAACTTTCACTAATGAACTGGCAAAGAGATAAACTTTGATCATCTGGGTGAAGTCTCTTCATTCACCAAGTAACGCACAGATGTAGTGACATCTCAATAATCGATACCTCATGGCTTTTCGATGGTGACCCCTCTATCTTAAGCCACTGTCAACCGTATCTCTCCCTCCTCTCCCTTCATACCACGATACGGATCTACTTCGATTTTCTATATCATACAATCATCAAAATTCATTCTATTTTTATCGCTATTAGCAAGTAGTTTTGCCAATCAGCACTATCATTATTCTCCGGGTAAAATGCCCTGAACCACCAAGACTAATTGCGATTGATACCCCTCTTAGCACCACCGTATAAACTCAATTACTCCGCAGCACACTAATTCAAATGGTAATTCTACCAATTATGCTCGTGTTGTTGAGGCGATCATTCCATAATAGGGAAAGTATATTTTGGGGTAATCGAGCTTATACGGGACTTCACATACTTTCCAACCTGCTTTTTGTCCTGCCCAGGCTTGTCATGGATATCTTTCCGAGCCTCTTTATTCTGTATTGGTTGTATTCACATGGAGAAAAGTCTCCTCTTCCTCTAGCTTTGTACAGGCATTCTCACAAAATATGCACATTCACCACTTGGGATCGAGAGAGCGCTCAATGGTTTTCTACCCCGCCAATGGCTACCAATCACCACCAGATGTTTAGACTAGTGATGTATTGTGCCTCATTGATCCAGCGATTCGGAAGGTACCTAGGTACACTTGGGTCGAATTTAACCACTTCTACATTGTCAATCGTCAAACTTTGTATCAAGTGATTCAATAACAAACATGGTCAGCATTCCATTGGGTAATGGGAAGCGCTATTCTCCTGCCTATCCTAACAAGGTCATGGAAATATTAGCCCCGCGCCGTCTCTGACCGGTAGCTTTCACTAGGTATCTAAGTATCTAGATACTAGTAGCTGGTGGCCATTCAAAATCCTACATAAACAATAGAATCCTGCCATTCATAATTCCATTGTTACATCCCATTTATTCAGGTCTCTATTGATTATCTGTAAAAATCCTCACTCGTTTTTGGATCAATCGTTCTTCTTCACACGCACTCGCTCCTACATCAAGCTCAATATGAAGACCACATTCGTTGTTGTTGCTGGTTTGGTATCTGTCGCATATGCTCAGGTCACAGCTCTCATCACTCCAACCGCATCTGCTCCTGATGGATGTGCCACTAGCTATTCTGGAGCTTTTCAAATCTCTACTGTAAATGTTAGCAGTGTATCAAAGCGTCAGCAAAAGGTGAATATATCTCTATTTCTTTCAATCTATGGTTAGATGTGATTGAGCTAACCCGTTTATAGCGTGCCGACTGTTCATCATCTCTTGCTGTCACACTCAACGATGGTATTCTTAAGGACCAGCAGGATAGGACAGGATACATTGCTTCAAACACTCAATTTCAATTCGATGGCCCACCACAAACTGGAGCTCTTTATACCGGCGGCTGGTCTGTTTGTTCAAACGGTTCTCTCGCTCTTGGAGGTTCCGCTGTTTTCTACCAGTACGTCAAAATCTCACAAGTTTTAAAATTCTTTCATCCTTGCTTTTATACCCGGATCTCAAGACCCTTTTTCACTCTTCCTCAAACAAATCCTTCTTCCTTGAAATGTAGCGTTTATTTGTTTCCCTCCCAAATGTTCCTCCAATAGACAATACTGACTTTCCGACTTTCAACAGATGCCTCTCGGGTACATTCAATAATTTGTACACTGAATCGCAGGGCGAACAATGCTCCCAAATTTTGATCCAAACATCTGCATGCAGCTCAGCTGCTGGATCTGGCGTCGTCGGACAATCGACTGATGGCCAAGCAACTGCCACTGCCATCGCTTCTCTATCCTCTGCAGCTGTTTCTCAAATATCAGATGGGCAACCACAAGGTGCAACCTCCGCCGCTCCTATCTCTCAGATTAGTGACGGACAAATTCAAGCCCCTACTTCTGCTGGCGGTGCGCCAATCACTCAGATTAGCGATGGCCAGGTACAAGGTGCTGCCTCTATTGCACCATCTCCAACAGGTGTTCCTGTCAGTCAGATTCCAGATGGACAAATTCAAGGTGCAACATCCACATCTGCCGCTCCTTCGGCGGTGATCTCCCAGATTCCCGATGGTCAAATCCAAGCTCCCACTAGTGCTGCTGCTCCTTCGGCGGTAATCTCCCAGATTCCAGATGGTCAAATCCAGGCTCCCACCAGTGCTGAAGTTCCTGCGGCCGTCGTCTCTCAGATTCCCGATGGTCAAATCCAGGCGCCCACCAGTGCCGCCACACTCGAAACGAGCACTTCTCTTGCCGGTCCAGTCGTCTCTCAAATCAGCGATGGCCAGATCCAGGCTCCTACCGCCACCCCAACGAATTATACCTATTCCAGCACAACATCCGCCCCTGCTGAATTTACTGGCGCTGCCAACGCTTACCAGGTCAGTGGCTCTTTGGCTGCGGCTGCTATTGGTCTCTTTGCTGCTCTTTTATAGAGTTCCTCTGGCACATCATATGACGAGACAATTTCTATTCTTGATAATGCATTTTATGATTACGGCGGATTTAATAAGGGATATCCACTGGGAATAACGGAATGGAAAATAAAACACCTCTCACTGCATGTTTGGGTCGAGAGATCAAATCACATACGACAGATATGAATGGGCACAGAATGAGGCAATAGGGGCATGATTATCACGTCACAAAGTATCAACAAAACGAGATAATGGCTACACACTAATAATTGAAAGGATTCCATATTAAAAATTATTTGATTATGAAATGGTTCAAGGGAATGGATAATGAATAACGCAAACGTCTCACCTCATTCTTTGGGTCCTTGGTGAATAATCTGATGTGCTTCTCTGATCTACTGTGTCTCTATGCGATTTTGTCTTTGACTAGCAATCGATTTCTCAAACACCAGAATATGTAAAACACCCATTCCAGTTACCACTAACCCAATGCCCAATCTCATCCATCAACCGTCAAGACCCGCAACCATCAATTAGTCTATCCAACTAGTCAGCCCGTTTTACACGCGTCATCAATGATATCCTAATTAATTCAGCCGACCAACTAAGTGACCTACTAACGACTCCGCGCTAGCTTCCCACCAAATATGCACCCCGCCGCTAAAACTTCTGCCTTGGGAGTCCGTCGTTCTTTAAATATACAGCATATCTAGCCGAGTCGGCACTAGAGCTAGAGCTACAATTGGGAATAGGAAAAGTCTGGGAATAAAATTGCTGGGAATTTATAATGGTATCCCGTCTAACCTCTTGATATTTTGGTATCTTCAATTGTTGGAGATAAGAATCTTGAGGTAGGAAATATGAAAGTAAAGGGATTAGGAATGTCGAAATTCCCAGGGCTTAATACAATTATCTATGCTAGTATAGATATGCTATGGTGTTGGTAAGAATCCCCTCGTTGTTTATTTCCCTGGGTACGAAGTTTACGATAACATAACACTAGTTGTTTTCGTTGCCGAAACCATTATCTAGTTTGGTTACCCTAAATACCGGCACCGCTCAACATTTTTTAGAGCTGACTTGGAGCTTGGCAGGTACGAAGTCGAAAGTTTCTTTGATTTTGCACTATAAGAGTGTTGTGACTGAATCACGTCCTGGGGTACCTTGATGGGCTCGATTGTAGATATGGTCCAGAAGTATTGTAAAGATATGTATGTAAGTCGTGATTTTTGACCATGTTTTCTGGGCACACCTAATCTCTCATTGCGGCTTTATGATGTGAGATTATAAGCATGTGAGATATGTTCATGGTGTAAGTATTAATGTTGTTGTATACTTGTATATATATATAATAAATTCGAAATTTCCACTTAAATTCTTCGCAGAATGGAAAGCGGAGGATGTCTGATACGATTGAATTTATATCATGTTTCTTTTCGCTAGGTGAACGAATATTCATGCAGCTTTTCAGGAAAGCCGAAAACGATTATCAGGGAATATAAATATCGGAGTGACCCAAAAAATTGGTCCTAAATTATACTATCGAGAGGCTATTACCGGCATTGGTGTTTAAGAGCCTTGATGGTGAGGGTAATGAATTATTGGAATCGAACACGAAGTCATAGATGTTCTTGAGATCGTTTTCCCTTGTGAGACTGTACTATCAACAGAGAAACTACGAGAAGCAGAGATGTGAAGTTAATGATGCATCAACCAGAGTGCTGCATTTTTCATCGCTTTTGGGACTAGGGTGCTTCTAGGAGCTGAAGCTGATTCTTCCCAAAAGGTAGCTCCAATTCTGTACGAATAATGTTCACTCCACACATGGATGATTTTTTTGACATGCGCTTGAAAGTCGAGCGTCTCACAATATTAATTCATTCTCTCAATGAAATCCTCCGTGAAGTCTGAAGTTGAATTTCTTTCCATCGCCCTCATCATCATCGTCTGATTCATGATTGAGAAATCAGGAGTTTTGAGTGTCCAGAGATCTTCTCTGTACTGCAAGCTGAGTGAGTATTTTAAAGAATTGATCACAGAGATAAAGATTGTAAACTCTCATTGAGCCAGTTTCCAATCAAAAACCTGCATTCGCTCCAGCACCCTTCTATTGCTACAGGAACTTGATGATCGAGTGGTCTCTAGTAGCACCTATTTCCTTGGGACCAATATGTTTATTGTGTATTGCTTTCATACAGAACATTTGTGGATGACCTCGCAATATATGTTAAATGTTGGCATGGTTTCTGTTTCGGGATGCGTAGTTAGCATCTGTGCATGAGGACAGCTCATTCTGCTGAGATCTCCGATTGTCTCTTTCAATTCAGAAGTTTACTTCATCTAAATGACACGACCGGCGTAAACGTGTATCCTTTTCGCACCCAAACGTACAGATTTAGATTATCACCCCCTATTCGGTATCAAGATCTTCAAATCTGGGACAAATAGTTCTAGTATTCTAAAATCGATAGCCTACATGGTTTGAAAATCTGTGATTTCAACTTTTGGTTGTCGCATCCAAGATTCGTGGTTCATGTTGATACATTTGAATAAGAAATAAGTGTGGCCACGATCGGCCAAGAGAGTAGAGCTGTAGGCCCTTCATTGAACGTGTGGATTACAGAAACAGGAACGGAAAAGAAGACCTAATTATCACATCTAACTTCGACAGTTCTTTATATATCACACAGAGACCATCACATGATAGCATCAAATGCCCGTTCATGCGAGATCATGGCCATTGTCAGCTAGTAATAAATAGAAGATAATGCTCTATTAGCAAGCCCCAGCTCGAAAACTGTAAAACCAAATCCATTGTCCTTGAAGTAAGAATAGCGGATAAATCTACTGTGATTGTGACAATGGACTCTCAATTCCGAGGCTTACCGAGAAGATCGCTTCACTTTTCCCCTTTTGTTAGGATTTTGGACCTTGCTAAGCGATAATTTCAGAGCAATCGAAATAATATAAACAACTGTAGCTATCAAAAGAATATTGTAAACCGCACCATACTCAGCCCTTTGAACAATGTAATCTATTTTAATTATGGTGTATTCGATTCTCGAAATGGGGTGTTTAATTGTAGCTATATATCCAATCGTGATTTACCTCTTCTTCCTTCGTCTGATCTTCTCGCCACAATCCTGTTCCGTCTCTTTCGAACGCCTAACCATACTTGCTACCTCGACCAGCCAAGCCCTCTTCATACATAAGTCTAACTAAGCGCATCGGTACCATCATGTCTCCCACTATTGTTCCCCCAATTTATTGACTCCTATCTCATACTCTCAATCTCTCCCAGTGCCACCAAATCGGAAATCTCTCAGACCTGGAAACAACTAGCACTTTCCCTTTACCCAGATAAAAACTGAAGTCAAGAAACGAAAGAGCGCTTCTAGCAAGTGAAAGACGTATATAATGCGATCAAGACGGCAAGAGCACGCAAAAACCATGATGCGCTATGAGTCCAGTATTTAGCTGCTCGAGAAGCAGCAAACTTCGCGCAAAAGCCGCAATATTAGCAGCAAGAGAAGTTACGCAGGAAATGGAGAGATGTGAGAGAGGCCATGGCACGCTGCGCTAGGCAATCGTATAAGCACGCCACTTGAAATCGAGGGAAGAGAAAATATTTGCAAACGTTGTTGTTTGTAAACTTCCTTCGGAGTAGGATATCCAATAGTCCGGATTGTAGTCCAGCAATATAAGATTTTGAATGTCTAAAACCAATTAGAACATTCATATCAAATTCAATATTCAATCCGGACTATTGGGCACCATGCAAAATTTGGAGAATAAGAGACGGTGGAGTTTATGGTGGAGAGAAACCTGAGTGGTTGTACAGCCTGGCGGAACGGTGATGTATTTTAATTGGATTCGGGTCAGTGTTCGAGTAAAACCTGTGGCTTGTAGTTCAGTACTCTTGGTAAACTCGTATAATACGCTGGTGTTAAGTCTTCCTTTGATAATCATTCTCGTTGACTAAGACTGGCAGTGGTTCTAAGTTCCAAAAGGGTATAACATATATTTCATATAGCAAAGGATACCTCATTTAAAGTGTGGAACAATTTGATCTCATTTGTATGCTTCTGCCTAGAAACCGATTTAGAACAAGTCTATGCCCGTAAATACCTCAAACAATGCGTTTAAGATGTGCCAAAAGGCGACAAAAAGAGTATTTGAAATCCTGCAGACCCGATATACCCCCACAAGTACTCCTGAAGCTATGATCTTCCCAATTTATACAGCCTACGATTAATCTAACGCCAATTCGCCATCCCATAATTCCTTTGGAGTATGTTCTTTAGTCGATCTCCATTGCATCATGAACTTCGTGATTCTCGACCTCTTCTGGTCCTATCTCTACCACGGGAACCTTTTCCAATGAGATTACGTTCGGTGTCCAATCCATATCGTCCTCCATAGGACGTTCCCCAATCTGTTGAAGTGCCGTTTCCATCTTGTATCTGGCGGCTTGCATGTCTGTTACACTGAGCTTTTCCCAATCGTATAATTCAGTCCACAGCTTGTGAAACTTTAATTGCCTCGAGTGGTCAGAAAGCAGGCTCATGAGGTCTTCGGCTTGTTGTGCCAAACCACGTAGTTCCTGACTCGAAAAGATATGCCGATGAGTAGCAGAGTTTCGTATTCGGACAGCATTAGCCAGGCATTGGTGAAGAGATTTGCCGTGCGTGGTAATGGCTTCTGATGGGACATTCTCGGGAAGGATTGTTCTCCATGTAGATAGTTCAACCGCTTCCGAACACGTCCAATTATTCCTTTGTAAAACGTCGGGAATCCATCGCGATGCAAAGGTATAACACCCCTCTTCCATGATCCGCTGCATCATACCAAGAATGTAATGTTGTACTTCGTAAGGAAGACCGAGGTCTGGAGAGGTGTATGCAGGAATCGAGCTATTATACGCATGAGCCATCGGTTTATGTTGCGAGGTTGGCGTGACCTGAGAAGGATTAGAAGGTAAGCAGAGCATATCTCTTCAAGCAAGTGTGTAAACATAC